TGTGCCGTGCCACATGCAGGGGCTGAGCGCTCCTGGGGCACCTTCCAGACCCTCCCTGCTCTCCCTTGGTCCCCAGGTCCCCGGTGCCTCCCCCCAGCCACACCAACGGGGACACCTCACTGGAGAGGTTGGCCACACGTGTCCAGGTGAGCCCCAGCACGCCCTGGCCCCCCACCCAGGGCTGGTGGCAGCTGCTGGTGTCACCCTCCCCTCCCCAGGACACGCTGCGGACGCGGGATGAGAGCCAGGGTGCCTCGAGAGCCCCCGACCCCAGCCTGGCATCCCCCATCCAGCTGCCCCACAGTGCCAGGTAAGGCTGGACCCAGCTGTGTGTGGGGCTGGGGGGTGGGCAGGGGGCTGGGGAGGGCCAGGGACCCCCCTGATGGCTCCGTTCTGTCCCCACAGCTCACAAGCCCTGGAGGAGGAGTTCACCTGTCCCAGCCTCTGCCAGGTGTGTGGGGAGCTGGGCGGGCTGCAGGGGGGCAGGCAGAGGTGCTTGGGGGGCATCTGTGAACCGTCAGCTTTTGTAACACTAAACCTGCCCCCTTTTCAGCCCCAAACCACCTCCCTCTGAGCCCCCAGACTGCCCTCTTTGCACACCCAAGCCATGCCCTTTGAGCCTTGAAATCATCACCCTTTGACCCCAAAACCACTCCCCTTCGCAAACCCAAGCCATGCCCTTTGAGCCCTGAAATCATCGCCCTTTGAGCCCCAAAACCACTCCCCCTGGCAAACCCAAGGCACCCTGCTTTGAACCCCCAAACCACTGCCCTTTGAGCCCCCAAACCACTCCACTTTTGAGCCCCAAACCATCCCCCTTAGTGAACCCAAACCATCCCCCTTCGCGAGCACAAACCATCCCACGTTTGAGCCCCCAAACCACCCCCCTTTGCAGCCCCCTGGCCACATCACTGCCCAGCCCTGCTCTCCCTCAGGGACAGCCGGTGCCCCTCCCCTCTGGTGCCCCTTCCCCTCTGGTGCCCCCTCCCCGCCGCCCTGGCAGCACCCCCAGACCCGCGGGCACCGGCGCCTGCCCAGGGATGTTTTGCTCCTCTTGGCAGCGGCGCCAGCCTGGGGAGGCCAAACCAGTTTGGGGAGGCCCAGCCCCACTCCCGCCAGCCCGGGGCACTGGGGTGTTGGCTGGGCAGGGACCCACGGCCCGGCACACCCCCAGCCCGGTGGGATGCCCCGGGAACAGGGTCGGGATGCCCGGGGATGGGGTTGGATGTCTCCTCCTCCACCCCCCGGATCAGCCCCAGGATACCCTTGGCTGCCCCGTCCATCCCCGCGGGCAGCCGCTGGCTCCGGGCTTGGCGTCTCCCTCCCCTCCTCCCTCCCCTGCTTTCTCTTTTTCTTGTTTTCCAAGCCCAAATTGGGAAGCGCCGTGGTCCCGGAGCGCGGCCCTTCCCGCCTGCCTTTGGCCGTGGCCCCGGCCACCCCTTGGCTGCTCCGGCCGCCCTCTCCCTCCTTCCTCCTGCTCCCTCCTTCCTCCCCAGCTCCAGCTTTGCCTTGGCCCCGGAGGGTCCCTCCCTGTCCCTGAGTGTCCCTCCCTGTCCCTGAGTGTCCCTCCCTGACCCTGAGTGCCCCTCGCTGCCCAGAGCCCCCCACCACGGTGCCATGAAGAGCCCAAGGGGGAGCCGAGGGGAAGGGCTGCCCATGGATCCCACTCTTCCCACCATCCCGGGGTGGGTTGGCGCTGGATCCCGGCGGGGACGAGGCCAAGGCACCCGGCTCCTCCCGCGCCTAATTTTAGCTCGTCCCTCGTCTCCTCGTGACCCCACAGAACCCCGGGGCTGCCCCCCTCCCTCTCCATGAATCCAGGCAGGGCGTCCCTGTCCCCGTCCCGGGGTCTCCCTGGGGTTCCCGTCTGCGTGGCGGCCGCTCCCGGGAACATCAGCTTCCACTTATCCAGGGCTCCTCTTTCCTGCCTGGCCGGGGCCGCTAAGCAGGAGCAGATGGTGGGGAAGGGCCGGGCGCAGGCGCAGGGGTTATGGGGTGGGGGTGCTGACCCCAGCCAGGCTTGAGGAGGAGATGCAGCTGCCCCACGGAGCATCCCTGCATCCCTCCAGAGACAAAGGCTCAAGGAAAGCCCCTCTGGGCCTGGTCCGAGTGCCCTCGGGGTCCCCAGGGGGAGAGGGAGGGTCTGTGGGCACCCTGCCAGGCTGCCCAGGCCGTTCTGGGGGCCACCCCAGCCCGACCCTCTGTGCCCCCCAGGACACCCATCCTCTCTTTCCCCCTGCCAGGAGCGAGGAATCCTGACCCGCCAGAACAGCTGCCAGGGATCCATCCTGCCTCCCCCGCCCTGCCCACCTTCACCAGGGCTTGGAGCCCCCCAAAACCACGGGGAGCATCACTATTCCCTCTCTCTCAACACCTGCAACAGGTACGGGGCGGGGTTGGGAGGGAGGGGGACGTGGCACAGGGAAGCCCCCAGCTCTGTGCCCCGCCATGGCATGCTGGTTTGGCACCCATGGGTGCCGAGGGAGCCCGTGGAAAGGGTTAACTCACCTGCGAGGCAGGTGGGGCCGAGGCAGGGCCGGGCAGGCCGGGGCAGCTCCCCGGGGAGGAGGGAGCAGGTGACAGGCGTCTTGTGGGGGGGGCAGAGGGTGGATCCCGGAATTTGGGTGCTGTCAACCTCCCCCCACCGAAACATCTCTCCCTCGGCGTGCCGTCCCACAGCCAGGGCTCGGAGCCGGCCATGAGGCGCTTGGAGGAGGACTCCGAGGTCTACAAGATGCTGCAGGAGAACCGGGAGCTGCGGGCGGCCCCGCGGCAATCCAGCACCTTCCGCCTGCTCCAGGAGGCGCTGGAGGATGAAGGAGGTGATGGGGGGCACTGGGAGAGGCTGGGGGTCCGCCAGGGGGGTCAGCAGGACGCTGATGGCCCCGTTTCCTTCCCCCTTCCCCCCTTAGGTGGTCCCACAGCCCCCTTCCCCAGCCGGCTCTCGTCCGGCGCCCGCAGAGCCGTGGCCGGGGTGCAGAAGCTGCACGTCTGCGAGAAGTGCGGGAGCAGCATCGCGTGAGTGGGGCTGGGGGGCACCCTGGCGGCGGGGGCCGTGCCTGCCACCCCCTCCTGGCAAAGCCAAAAACGGGGGCTGGGCGGGCCCCTCGGGGTGGGGGCAGGATCTGTCCCTGTTACTGCTCCAAGCAGGGAAACAAACGGGGGCTGACCCTGGGATGGGAGTGGGGAACTCGACCCTGCCACCACTTCGGGGCCACAGTGGGGTGGGAGGGGACCCCGGGGACACGGAGGGTGCTCTGCTGACGCCCCCTCCCGGTGTCCCCCAGCACGCAGGCGGTGCGGATCCAGGAGGGGCGGTACCGGCACCCGTCCTGCTACAGCTGCGCCGACTGCGGCCTCAACCTCAAGATGAGGGGCCACTTCTGGGTGGGCGACGAGCTGTTCTGCGAGAAACACGCCCGCCTGCGCTACCAGGGCCCCCCCGGGGTGCCCGTGTCACCCCCACCCGTGTCCCCCCACTCCTGAGCCACAGGCACGGTGTGATGGGGAATCACCACCTGCATCCCCCACAGCGTGTCCTGGGGTCAGCCCCCTGCACCCACCAGCCCCACTGGGGTAGGGGGTGTTGTGGGAGGGGGGGCTGAGGGCACCACCAGGCTTGGCGTGGCCGGGATTTTTGGGGAGGGATGCAACAGCAGCCACCCACCTTCACCCATGTGTAGGTCTGTGTGAGGAGCTGGGTTAGGTCTCAGCCTGGGCTGCAGCAGTGGGGGACACAGGAGGGACACTGGGGGGGGTCACAGGGATGCTTGAGCACTTGGGTACCAGAGAGGGGCTGGCACCGCTTGTACACTGACTGCAACAAGGTATTAAACCAGATTATATATAAATATAATATATATTTGCTCCACTCCCGTGTCTGCTCTGTGCTGGGGCCCAAGGGTGGGGGCAAGGTGGGGACCCCAGACCCCCCCAGCCCTCCTGCCTGCACCCAGGATGGGGGTCCAGGGCTGGGCAAAGCTCCGTGGCACATCCCGGGCTCTGCAGTGACATCCCAGCTGACCTTGTGGTGCTCCCGGGAAGGTCAGGGCTCCCCGCGGGGCTGGATGTCCCCTCCCTGCTGCCGGCGTCCCTGGGAGGTGTCGGGGTTTATTGGGGGCTGTTGGCCGAGCCCTTTGTCCTGCAGGGGCCCAGGTGGGCTCTTATCTCTGCTCCCCACCCTCCGTGCCTGTTTGCACGGAGATGGGCTTTGCTGTTATCTGGGATTCGCCCTGATCAGCGAAGGGAGGGAACCAGCTCCTTCCCCTGCACTGGGGACAGCCAGGAGCCCCCTCCCCTCTTTCCTGGGGGTCTCACTGGGGTCTGTCTGGGGTGCACCACAGCCCCTCGTGTGCCTCCAGGCCCGTCCAGGGAGCTCTCATCCTGGAATTCCCGACTGAACATCCCAGAGCAGCCCTGGCTGCCCCATCCCTGGGAGTGTCCAAGGCTGGGTTGGAGCAACCTGGTGGAGTGGGAGTTGTCCCTGCCCGTGGCACTGGGTGGTCTGTACGGTCGATTCCCACCCAAACCATTCATTCTCTGGTTCTGTATGACCCCCAGGGAGGGAGGAGGAGGATGATGGTCCTGCCCCTCTCCCGCCCTCGGTATGAGGTGGAAAAAAAAAAGAAAAAGATGAATAAACGCCTCGAGCCCTCCTAGGGTAGCACAGGTGGGGCTGGGGGCAAAGGGGCTGCCAGGGCAGGGGGCGGCTCCCCCACCCCCGGCCCGCCCCGGGACTGTGCCGCCCCCCAAGCCCTGCCCCATAAAACGGCGGAAGACGAGCCCGCTGCTCCCTGCCCTGCTCCCGGTTTCCATTTCCCCTCTGCCCCGTTCCCAGTGCTCCGTGCTCGGCTCCCAGGGTCCCCCCCGCTTCCTCATTCCCGGTTTTTCTCTGCCCGGTTCCCGGTACTCCCTGTCCGGCTCCAGGATTTTGGTTCCCCTCCCTCAGCCCGTTCCCAGCTGCCCGTACCCCATTCCCAGTCTCTCCCGGTTCCCGGGGGATGCTGCGCCGGCGCGGAGCCTTCAGCGTGGAGCCGCTCCACGACCGCGGTGAGTCGGTGGTCCCTGGCGCTATGGGGGACCCCCCTGCTGCTGGGGGGGTGTCCTGGTGTCTCCATCCTGTGAAGTTCCTGCTGGAAGGGATCCTCAGGGATCCCTGGTTTGGATCCCTGGTGCTGGAGAGGGACCCTGGGGGTCCCTGGCACCCCCCAGTTTGTGCTCTCTGTGCTGAAGGGGGTCCCTGGACCCCTGGTTTCCACCCCCCTCCCTGCTGGGAGGGGCCCGGGGTACTGGCTGTGCTGGGAATTCAGGTTTTCCTTTCCCATGTTGAGGCTGATGGGTCTGTTTGAGCACCCGGAGCCCACTGAGTGGTGCAGGGGTCCCCAAAACCCAGGGGCCCATCTCCATGTGCCCCCTAACTCTACCTGTGCTGGGACCACCCCCAACTCCCCCCCCACTCCAGCAGCAACAGCCAGAAGGTACCGGGGATGGAAAGACATGGGGGGGGATCCAGGATCCAGCTGAGCTGGAGCTGCCAACCCAGGAGGAGCCGATGGGGATCCCCCCACATCCCTTCTCACCCTGCCTGTGCCCCCCACCCCGCTGGGGCTCCGGTGACACCCTCGTGGGGTCCGGCAGCCTGCGGGAACGCGGCGTGTGGGAGCCGGGATGTTGGCAGCCACCAAGCTGGGGTGGAGGGGCTGCCCCCCCGGATTCCTGGGATTCAATCCTGCTGGGGTGGACCCGGGATTGCTGGGATTCAATCCTGCTGAAGGGCCGGATTGTCCCAGCGCCGGCCGCGGCCTCTCCAGCCCACAGGGGGTGCACGGTGAGTGGCGCGGCTGCGGGAATTTTTGGGGGGGCACTGGGACCCCTGCTCGGCGAACTCAGCCCGAACCGGAGCTCCTGAGTGAGCTCCTTGGGATTTGATGGGATTCCCCGGCTCCTGGCTGCCTGCCGGTGCCCAGACAGCGCGGCTGGGGTGGGAAGGCAGCCCTTAACCACCGGCCCAGCCTGTATCGCCGATCCCAAGCCCTGCGAGGAACCAGTTGGGAACCAGTCCTGTAATGAGGTGCCTCTGGATACAGGGCCCGTCTCCGGCTGGGCTGGCTATAAAAGGGAGCGCCGGGACGCGCGCCCGGCACTCGGCCCCGGCTCCCGGCCATGTGGGGGGGCTCCCGCGCCGTCTGGAAGAGGAGGTTCAGCTGCTGTGAGTGTGTTTTGGGGGAGGAAGGGGGGGAGGGGGGTGTGCCAGATCCCAACGGGGCTTCCCGGGAGGGTGGGCAACTCCCAGGAGGTGCCAAAGCTTCGCTCCCACCTCCCTGAGGCCTTTGAGGTGGCCTGGCTGGGAAGGGAGGGGGGGGAAAGGAATGGGGAGATCCCCCCCCCCATCCTTGATGCGCCGTGATCCCACCTGGAGCTGTGGGGTGGCGGGGGCTCATCCCGGCTGGTGATGTCCCCCCCCCTGCTCCCTGTGGGGAGAAGTGTGAGGAGCTGGTGGTCCCTGGAGCCATCAGGTGTCCGGGATCCCACCCTGCCTCCTGGATTGTTGGCACCGGGCTAGAGTGGGATACAGGGAGAGCAGCCAGGGTGGGGTGGGGGGTTCGTGTGTGCCCCCCACTCCCCCAGCAGCTCAGCAGCGTGGCTTGGGAGGAGGAGGAGGAGGAGGATGGAGGAGGCCAGGGCCGTGCTTTTGGGAAGCAGCAACTTGTCGTAGGAACATCCCTGGCTGTGGGGACCCTCTGGAGAGGGGTCTCTCGGATGTGGGAGGGGCTGTAACCCCTCTGTGGCAGCAGGGAGAGCAGCCTGGAGGGGTGGTGGTGAGGGGGCTGGGAGGGCGGTGGGCTCATGTGTGAGGGGTGGGCACCCTGTTCTGCTCCTGAGACCCTCCCTTTCCTCTCCCTCGCCCCGCAGATGGTCCCTGGGAGACAGCCGAGAGCTGCATCGTGCGCACCTCGGCCAGCGTCTACCGCCGGCTGCAGGAGAGCCCGCGGCAGCCCCCGCGGGGCATGAGCACCCGGGGACCCCCCCCGCGGCCCCCCAGCAGCCCCCCGGCCGGCGGGAGACTCCTCAAGTCCGAGTCGGAGGACTCCGGGGTGGAGATGGCCAGCAACGAGCACTCGCCCTCCACCCCGCTGGGCTCCGAGAGCAGCTTCTCCCTCGACGGCTTCGCGGCCGAGAAGCCCCCACGGGAGGGGCCGGGCTCGCAGCCCCCCCGGACACCCCGGAGCCGCTCTGCCAGCAGGAAGCTGCTGCAGGCAGCGCAGCGGAGCAGGAGGCAGCGGTGCCCGCGACAGCTCAGCCGGCGCAGCTCCAGCACAGCCGACCTGGCGGAGCCTCCACGGGAGCCCGAGGAGCCCGAGGGAGCGGCGGCCCCCGCGGCTGGAGGGGCTGGGTCGCCCGGCAGCCCCCGAGACCCCCGGGCTGTGCCCGAGGGGCAGGGTCTGCGGTACCTGGAGCACGTCTGCCAGATGCTGGAGCGCCTGGCGCGGCTGCAGCAGGACAACAGGATCCTCCGGCAGCAGGCGGCCGGTGCCCAGCGCACCCGCCCGGGCACCCTGGTGAGGGCCGGGAGGAGGTGGGATGCATGGATTGTGGGTGCGGGTTGGGGGGCCTCAGCTCACACCCTGCCTCTCCTCTGACCGCCCACAGCCCACCCGGGAACCCCCGAGGCAGAATTCGGCTGCGTGGAGGGATGAGGGGTTCCGTCCGCGCTCTTGCTCAGACAGCCAGGCCCCAGGTGAGAGGGGTGGGATGCAGGAATGGTCGGGATCAGGCGCCAGGTGAGCAGGGTGGGGTGTGGGATGGCAGGACCCCAGGCCTTGACAGCTCTGTTTCCCCCGTGCAGCCCCCGAGCCGTGCCGGAGGATGTGGGGGCACTCTGCCAGCTCCCCCAGCCTGCTGGACCCCTCCGAGAGCGGGGCGGGTGCCGCGGCCCCGGACAAGGTACGGCCGGGGGGTGTCGGGGGCGGCGGGCGGGGTCCCGCGGGGTCCCCCCGTGCTGACTCCCCCTCCCTGTCCCGGCAGGACGGGCGCTCGCACTGGGGCCGGGTGAAGGTGCTGCTCACCCGCCTCACCCGCCGCTCGCTGCGGGGCGGCCGGTGCAGGTAGGGCGGCGGAGGGGGGTCCCGCTCCCACCGGTGCACCTGATGGAGGGACCGCGCTGTGCTGTTGCGTCACACCCCGCCCTATGACGTCACGCTCGCCCGGGGCCGGTCCCCGGCGCCCCCCCCGTCCCTCCACTTCACCCTTTTTTGTTTTCCGGTCTCCCCTAATAAAGTCTTTTGGCTGGCAAAGAGGTGAGGTGCTGTCGCGCGTGACGTCACTCCCCCCTCAACCCGGCGTGACGTCACGCGAGGGTGCGTCACGGCCGCATCACTTCCGACGGCTTCTCCCGCCCCTTTTGTCCGACCGGGTCCGTTCCCACGGGCCGTTCCAGCTCCTGCCGTCCCCCCACCACATCGAGCCCCCTCCCTCCGAACCCCCTCCCCGGTTCCCTTCCCGACCCTCCTCCCAGCTCAGCCCCGGTGCTGGGCCGGCTCCGGCGGGGAATTCTCGCTGCTTCGGGGTCGGGGTAAAGCTTGCCCCCCTCTCAGACCTCCCCCTCGAATCCCCTGCTCCCCGCAAGCTGCCGGTGGGGATGATGCTCCCGGGCTCATCGCGGGTGGGGAGGAAGGAGCGGGTCCCCCTCGGGGTGGTCCCCAGCCCGCGGGGGTGTTTTGGGGATGGGTGAGGAGGGGGTCGGGCCGGGGCCGATGTTGTTTTGGCGCTGCTGGAGCCCCTCATCGTGTCGACGGGTCGGGTCTGGCAGGAGAGGAAGACGCAGGTGGTCTCCGAGAAGGTATCCCGTTATCCCTCCCCTTTTCCCCCCCATCTCCCTTTCCTGGTGTTTTCCTACCGTCACTTGGGCTTCTTCCTTCCCAGCGGCGAATCCCGCAGCCTCTCCAGAGCTCCCCCCGGCACCGCTCCCACCCGCACACCCCCGGGGGCACCCTCGGAGCTCCAATCTCCTCCATCCCACCGCTCCTTCCCGGGAAACGTGAGTGCTCATCCATCCTCGCGGCAGGGGATGGATCCGGGTGTGCGGAGTCCCTGGCAGTGCTCCCCCTGGCTGATCCCAAGGATGCTGAGGCTGGTCCAGGTGATGCCAGTTCTCCTTTCAGGACCCAAGTGAGGAGGAGGAGGGAGGTCTGAGCCTTTCCCTCCCACCCCGGGATCACCCAGGACACAGGAAAGCTCCTGAGCACCTGACCAAGGAATATCAAGGTGTGGACGCTGGTGTGTGCCGGTGCTGGCAGTTAATTCACCCAGTTTTGGGGGGAAAACCCTTGGGATTGGTGCTGCTGGACTGGTGGTGGGATGGCATCTGCTCAACCTCTCCCTGTCCCCTGGGGTCTTGTCCCTGAGGGGGTCAGGGGGGCTTCGGGGAGGAAGGGGGACAGTTGGGATGCTGGAACACAACTGGGCTCGCTGCGAGCAACTCCTGGGGAGGAAAGAGGGTGTCCCTATCCTGACCCTGTCCCTGCAGCCACTCCCAGGGATCACCCTGGAGCAGTGCATCCCTCCCCTCTGCTCCCAGAGGTCCGGGAGCTGCTGCACCTCCCTGAGTGTCTCAGCCGAGGCTGAGAACATTCCACACCGTAGAGTTAATTTTTCCCTTCCTGCCAGCTCTCCCTATTAACGCCGGGATCTTGTGGGTGGCGCAAAACCCGCTAATTATCCACTTTTTACTATAAAAGATGGATTTCTCCTCCCCAGCCAGCGCGGAGACGACGCAGCCAGAATCCCTGGGAACGCTCGGGTTAAGTTTCCATGGGTGAGATCCCTCTCCTGAGGGCTGGAGGAGCAGCAGCTGGGATGCTCTGGATGAAGTGGGATGATGGGGGAGGTCTGGCTGCCCTGCAGAGGGTGACACAGTGACACAGACAACGCCACCAGGTGGGGTTGAATCCAGTGAGGAATCAACACTGCCAGGCCATGGAGAGGCTGCCACGGATCTTTTGCCTGCTGGGGAGCCATCCCAAGGTCTGCAGGGCTCAGATCCCACCGGGAGAACGTGCCCCTTTGCTCAGATCCCCAGGGGAGAACGTGCCCCTGCTCGTGCGTGGCAGTTAAATATATATAAATATATATATATTCTATATATTTAGCATCCCTGCTCTGGGTAACCGTGGCAACGGGGTTTATTTTGCTTAAACCTGGCCCGGCATGTGATGCAGTCGGGAAGGAACAGCCGAGGGGAGAGGCAGGGATGAAGTTCTCCGTGCTGGGAGCTGGGGAGGCGCCTTGGCATGGGATGTGGCATGGGATGCTCTTGGGGGGGAAGTCTCTCTGTCCCTACAAACAGCCCCACCATTCCCATGGCCTGCCAGGGCTCTGTCCCATTCCCTTCGCTCCAGCTGGGAATGGGAAGTTTTGGGTTTAGGGGCGGGGGTCCAACTCCCTGTTTTGCGCTGTTTTCCCAGGACAGCCCCCTGACCGCTATTCTCCGCCTTGTGCAGGGTCTGCTTTGCCAAATCCGGGTACTGGTGGGAAGAGGGGGTGGTTTTCCTGATGTCTGGAGCTGCGTGCCCTCATCTGGAGGAGTGGGAAGCCTCGGGCAGAGAAGGGACCTCTTACCTCCACCAGAAACCCACCAGAGCGGGTTTGTCCCAACCCAGGACGTGGCAGGCTCCCTGCAGCGCCTGCAAAAGCACCAGATCGGGCCCTAAATTCCCTGTATTTTCCTGGAGAACTGCGCTCCTCGTGCTTTGCTGACGCCGTTTCCTTTCCGCGCCTCCTCGTTGTGGAGGAGGGGGATGTTTAATCCCCTTTTTTCCCCTTCCCAGTCCTTCCAGCCCCCCTGTACCTTCCCTGGGTGCCACCCCCCGGCAGTGGCGGGCGGGGGACAGCAGAGGGCGACAATGGCCCGGCGGTGGCCACGGGCCCCGACAGCGACACGGGCCCGGCCGGCGCTGCGCTCCCAAAAACTTTATTGGAGAAGAGCCCCCGTGCCCTCCCCCGGACACCGAGCAGGGGCTGCACCCCCCTCTTCTCCTCCCCTCCCTCCCACCCCTCTAGTTTTCCTTGGATTTTCTCCTGGCTGGGTTGTTTCCTCCATGGATCTCTCTGCCCCCTCCCTGGGCACCCCCAGCTCGCGGGGTGGGCACCCTTGGATCCTCCCCGGCTGTGGGGCAGAGGCACTTGGTGCCACTCCCGTGCAAAGAGAGAGGGATGCTCGGCACGGCAATCATCACCCTTTCCCTCAAAAAAAAAAAAAAAGGGATTTCAGTGATTTTTTTTTTACCCTCCCCTGGGGGGGCCACTGGGCTCCTAAGGCACAAAATGAAGGGGCACGAGGAGGGGGGTGTCTCATCCTCCTGGAGTGGGCCTGGACTGTGGTGGTGCCTGGAAAAGGCCAGCAGCCCTCCGCGCATTCCCATCTTCACCTGCATGGGACACCCCTCTTCCCTGCTCCACCACACCCCCCAATTTAAGGCAAAACCCTGGGGGGGGAGGCAAAACCAATCCAGACGCTGGCAGGGGGTGGCCCCCACTGTGCCCCCCACCCCTCGTCGGGGCAGGAGGGAACCACGGGGCAAAGGGAGCAGTTCCAGCGCCCACAAATCCACCCCTGGGCTGGGAGTTGGGGTTGATTGGGGGTCATCCCCACCCTCCCCTCAGTCATCAGCCACGATGGAGAGCGCCCGGAGCTCGCTCAGCTTGGCGTCGTTCTCCCTCTCCCGCTGCTCATCGCTCAGCCCGGGCCGGTCGATCTGCGCCGTCAGGTCCCCAAAAATCTTGTGCATCTCCGTGTAATACACAACCTGTTGGAAAAGCGGGATTGGGGAAGGGGAGGGCTGGAGGGGGTCCCCTTCCCTCCCCCCACCTCCCCTCCCCTTTCCCGCGGGTGCCCTCGGCAGCCCCTCTCCGGAGCGTTTGTGTCTAAAATAGCTCCCTCCCATGTGGCGATGCCACCCCCTTGGATTATTACAACTCAACACGTTTTAATAACACGCTGCCCTTCTCCCCGCTCGCTTCCCATCTGGGAGCGGCGCGTGCGGGGCTGCCACCGGGGCACCCCCCGCCCTCCTTTTGTGTCCCCTCGTTTTGTCACACCCCGGGCCGTGTCACCCACCCGGCCCGCCCCGCCAGGGATGCTCGGGGCGAGGTGGGCACGGTGGGAGTCGCGCCCGGCAGGGCCGTGCCCCGCCGTGGAGCACCGGGAGGACGAGGAGGAGGAGGAGGAGGGGTGTTTTAATAACGTGCTAATTAGCACCGCCAATTATCTCCCGGCAGCGAGCAGCGCTTCCCCGGAGCGGGAGCCGGTGGGTCAAGCGCAGGCAGATGGCAGCGGGTTGGCTGCTTGGGAGCGGGGCTCCGGGAGAAGGGGGGCACACAGCCCTGCCTGCGGGACCCCCGGCGCTGCGGGACGCCAGCCCTGTCTGTGGGATCCCCCTCCCCCGGCACTGCAGGACTCCTGCTGCTGTGGGACCCCCTGGGCGCCACAGGACCCCTGGCACTGCAGGGGATGTGGGATCCTGTCCCGGGCATCCCCCCCATGACCGTCAGGGAGGGACGGGGAGCGTTGCCCCCGTTTCCCAGAGGGGCACAAGCGCAGCCCCAGCATCTCCAGCAGCACCAGTGCGGAGACACTCACGGTCTCCATGGAGACCAGCTCCCCTAATCCTGCTCCCAACGATGCTGCTTTTGGGCAGGCCCAAGGTGGGGATGTTGGGGTCCCACAGGCCGGGACTGGCTGCCTGCACCCCCCTTCCCTGGGTGGGTCCGTGCCGGGGGGTCCGGGGGCCGCTCCGGGGCTCCCCACGCAGCGGGATCCGGGTGAGTCACAGCCACGCTCATTTACACGGTGACTAACGAACCCCGCGCAGGGCTGAGCTGGCAGGAGCCCCCCAAAATCCCTGCACAACCCCCCCCAACCCGCGGCCCCACAGTCAGACGACCTCAAAAAGCCCCTCACAAGCAAAGAGATGCCGAAAACACCCGTCGCCACCCAGAGCCCTCAGCAGTGCCACAGGGGAGCATGGATCTGGGCTGGAGGGGTGCCAAGCGGGGTGCCAGAGCTCTGGAGCAGCCCCCCGTGTCCCTTGTGCCCAGCCTGGAGTCAGCTGGGCCCCCTTCAGTCACATATGGCCAAGTGGCACTGCCAATTCCGGCATGGAAAAGGCTCCTGCACGTTGGGATGGATCTCGCCAGGGTGGCAGATGCTGCTCCCCAGGATTGACCCCAGGATTTCCACCCCCAGGACTGAGCCCATATCAAGATTAACCCCCAGGATTGTCCCCCCACCAAGACTGGCCCTGAGACTGCCTCCAGGATTTCCCCTGGGATTGGCCCCGGGATCATCCCCCCAGGGCTTCCCTGCCAGAATTTTCCCCACAATTGCTCCCAGGATTGCCCCTAGGATTGTCCCCCAGCATCCACATGGGCTGAAGGGAAGGGGTGCACCCCAGACTCGTGACAGTGACGGGAAGGACCCCCGGGGCTCTGAGGGTAGCTCCCCCTGCCCTACCTGCTCCCGCCAGCCCAGTACTTTTCCAGCTATGGATACCATATGCTCTGTCCCCAGCCCATCAAATCCCATCTCCAACTCGCCTTTGAGCCCGAGCCAGCGGCCCCGAGTCCACCTGTCTTGAACTAATTCTGTTTGGGGACACGGTGTTCCGCGGATTTTCTATAGATCCCGCTCACAACGGCCCGGCTGGGAATGGTCGGGTGTGTTTGGGTCAGCCCTACCCAAAACAAACCCAGGGTCACTGCCAGGGCTGGGCTTCCCTATCCTACAGCAACCCCCCAGCCTGCCAGCCCCGTCTTTCCCCCCTGTTTCCTTAAAAACCAAAGGAATATCACATTTTCTCGCTGGAAAACAAAGCACGAAGCGGGAAGGAAGTTTGTTCACGCCTCGCCCCAGCTCCGAAATCTCCCCCCTTTCATCTCCATGTGGCCACTTCAAAGCCCCCAGCCAGGGAAACATTTGCCTCCCTTGGCTTGGCCCGGGCACGTGGGTGGAGGGAAGAATTTTGGAGTTGAATGTTACAGCCCTGCGAGCTCGGGACATGTCCCGGCGTCAGGAGACACCCGGCACCGGGAACGCGGCCAGGCTGTGCCATGGGAACTCACCCGCCCGGAGAGGAGGCTCTGGAGGGTCTCCTTGGGTCAGGGCCCATGGAGCTGGTTTGGAGCAGGGTCCTTTGCCACGGCATGGAGAGGCAGCTGGTGCCTCCCCAGCCCTTCCTGGTGTCACCGTCACACACTCGTCTCACTTTAACCCTCCAATTTCTCCAGGGCCAAAAAAATAGGGAAAACTGTGTGGGTTTGACCCAGGGACAAGCAGCCCCAAAGTCATGGCCCACCAGCACGGTGCCAGCTGATCCCAGCCTCCCCCCATCCATCCCTTTCCTTCAGGGATGCACCTCCAGCCCCATCCCAACCATCGCTCCTAGAAAGGTACCCAGAGAAGAGGATGAAAATAGAAATTCCGTCGAGGAACACAACCCCCCCAAGAGGTGCTAAATCAGCTCAAGGAGGCTTGGAGGGAGAGAAACCTGGGATGAGCGGGGCTGGCTGGCAGATATTCCCATGGGGAATGGGGATGCTCCCGGCATCCCCCCGGCAGCCCCCTGGGATGGCCTTCCCAGCCAGTTGCCTGCAGGTGAGCAGCTCCTCAGGTGAGTCAGGACTCTGGGTGCTATTCCTGGCTCGCCACTGACTCATTACCTCGGGCAAGTCATTCCCCTTCTCCTTAATATTTAAGTCCCTTCGATGGGAAAAACTCTTCCCAGAGCTCCTAAGAGGGGACACAGGGCCTGAGCCCAGCCTTGGCACAAACATTCCGAGCTCTTCCCCCCCGGCATTCCCTCCCTGGGGGTGGAAGGGTGCAGCCAGTGCTGGGGGAGAGGGATGCAGCTCCCATGGAGGCTGGCAGGGAGGGAGGGATGGGAGCTGCATCCATCTGGGACCGGCTCTAGTCCAGCCTACAGGGGATGCATCAGCTTTGTTATGACGCTGCCTTTTTTGGGCATTAAAAACGGGATTTCACTCCACTCCCCTAAGAAACTCCTCACCTGAAGACGAAGCAGGGCAGGCGGCTGGGAGAGAAAACAGAGGATTCCCGAAGGAAGAAGAGGGATATGAATGGAGAGTGTTACAGACAGCCCCAGCAAGGACATCCTGCTGCTCCCTGCTCGCATCCCTGGGTGCTCCGAGCACATCCATCCCAACGTGCCCCTGCCCCAAACTCCCCGGGAACCAGGACACAAACGGAATGAGGGACATCGTGGCCAAAGCCAGAGGGGCAGAGCTGCTCTCTGAGGAAACTCATGGATGGCAAACACCTGGAGATGGCAGAGAACGTTCGGGTTTTCCAGGTCTCATCCGCGCGATCCGGAGAGGGTCTGCAGGGGGAGAGGGCCAGCGAGACCCCGCGGTGGCTCTGGGAATTGTGGTGATTCTGGCTGTGCCGGGCTGGAGCAGGGAGCCCCCGGGGCCCATCGCTGAGGGAACAGCAGGAACAGCATCCCCAGCACCCACCCTGCGGCGCAGGGAGCATCGGCACCATCTGGTAGGTGAATCAGCCTGCAGACAACTCGCTGGCAGCTCCGCGCAGAGGCCCCCCCCGGAGTCGGGAGGTGAGATGGAACACGTGCTCCCAGCACCTCCCTGCAGCCCCCCCGCCGGGCACCTGTGTCCCTGCAGCAGCTCTCTGCCCAAAAATACCACCGGGAAACGCCCACGGCGGGAGCAGCGCAAGGTTTCGTCCCCCCACCCCGGCACGGGATCGCCCCGTGACCCAGGGCATGGCGTGCCAGAGGTTCAAAGCTTGATTAGATCCCAACCCTGTCCCTCTCCAGCCTGAGGGAAAGGGTGAAGGGAGAAGGAAGGAGGAGGAGGAGCAGCAGCAAGTCCCTGAAGGAGGCTGGAGGATGGAAGTGAAAGCTGTGGGTTATTTAGGCCACCTCTAAACTGCAAATCCTTGGTGTGGAGATGTCCCAGGAGCCTTCTCTCTGCTCACCAGAAGCCACAAGAGACCCTTAAGATGAGCCCTGAGCATCTCATCACCTCCAACAAGATCCAACCCAGAGCTCAGGACTCCAAATCCAAGCAGATGACATGCCCAGGTGGATAAAGCCATCAAATCCCAGTGGATTATGTATAGCCAGGGCTGGAACTGCGGGACAGGGCATGACCCATGTACCAGGAGTGTCCCAGATCCAGACAAATTTCCCCTGAGCTATTCTTTTCTATCCAGCATTGCACCACTTCTGCCAGGCCAAGGTCCATCTTAACTCCCCCAGCCATCCCACTGCTCCCCGTGCCCTCCCACCGGGGTGCTGGAATTCCTGGAGGAACGGAATTCCAGTGGAGGACTGCTGCAAGAGAGCACCTTGCTCCCAGTGGAATCCCCACCCAGGTGCTCTGCAGGAGGATTCCCACCACAGGATTCCCACCTGGCAGTGCCCAGCAGGCAGGACCAGCCTCTCACCTGTGCCCGGACCAGCGACTCGAAGCTGGGTTTGAAGTAATCGATGCGGCTGCTGTAAAACTTGGGCATTTCCTCCAGGAGCTGCTTGTTTTTGGCCTCAAAGTCCTCCTTCACCGGGCGCAGCTCCTCCCGGGCCTGGGGGAGGAGAGCAGAGGCTGGGAGTCAGACACCTGGGAAGATGCTCTTCCTTTGGGAATGCCTTCAAAGAGGCTACCCCGGGACAGCGGAACGCTCTGCTTTGACCTGGGGACAAGCAGCGGGAGCCTGGTGGGACCCATGGGATCATCCAGTGGAGCCTGGTGGGACCAAGTGACCAGTTAATGGAATAACAGAACATGCTGGGACTCAGGTGACCACGTAATGGGGACTGGTGGGACTCAGGTGACCAGTTAATGGAACCTGGTGGGATCAAGTGACCATCCAATGGAGCCAGGTGGGAACCAAGCTCTGACCCTGCAAAGCCACGGGACAGCCAGAGAGGGTCTGAGCCAGCTGGTCGTCCCTCCTTTGGAAAAAAACACGGACAAAAACCAGCCCCAAAGCCCAGTCAGGCTGCAGAACGTCCCTGGCCATGTCCATGTCCCCTCTCCCTGCAATTCCCAGGACCATCTCCCCAGGATCCTGCCCCCAACCACCCCTTTCGCCCGTGACCTTCAGCCCGGCGCGTCCAACTGGCTCCTTTAAACAGAAGCGTGGGGAGAAAGGGAAATGTCTCAGGGATGGTGTGGAAAAGGGCAGGAGGGGGTGGGCTGTGAAATATTAGACTGGTTCAAGTCTGCCACTTAATCCCGGTGCCATTCCAGCGGGAGGGGGGTGCAGGGGATCCGAGCCCGGCCACGGCGCCGGCCCCGCTCCCGGGGACAGGGACAGAATGCCAGGGGGATGGCATGGACAGAGCTCCAGGCTGGCAGAGCCTCAAACCATCCCAGTCCCAGAGGAAGATTCATGGCTCACCACGGAGCGTTGAACCTCCAGGGATGGAGCTCACAGAGGGCAGAAAACCTGGAGTAAATAACTGATTAAACCTGCAGGTCCATAATTAAACACCTGGATGAGACGAGGCCATTTCCCATCAAATCTGGGCCTCTTGGATACCCTGGGTTTGGGATTGCTTAAGGCTCCCCTCCCACAGGTGTTTAAGCTCGTGCAGCGTTTAGTTAAGTTTTATTTTTCTTGGGGGGTTAGATCAGAAGTTCATTAAGGGGGAAAAAATACATTAAATAACTAAAACCTTCTTAATCACCAGGACAAAAGCATTCCCGTTTTTCCAGCCCCGGCTTTAGTCGCCGAGGCTGAGCAAAATAAGCTGCTTACTGTTAAATCAGAGGTGTCTTTTGTTCAGGCTGTTCTTTAACACAAAACTTCATTCTTTTTTTTTAGGGGGGAAACTCATCAGAAAAACACATTTTCTCTGACGCTGGGAATCAATTGTTCCTCTGAGGATCAAGCCACGTGCTGTGGGAGCCACAGATATGGTGGAGAAATCTTGGGGAAGATTTAATTAAAAAAAAAAACTAAAAAAAACCCCAACCAAACCCTAATTGTGATTCTGCTAAAATTTGGGAGAGAGAGAGAGAGAGAGACAGAGAGAGAGAAAAAATCTGGCGCAACTTCCCGTTAACCGATTACCGCGATTTTCCACGACGAATTTTCGGAGCAGGTGGGAAACATAAAGCTGGGGAATGCTCTGATCTGATCTGTCCCTTTTCCCACCCAGCTGCTCCCTCGGACGGGGAGGTCTGGGGAAACCCTCCCCCACCTCCCTGTGCATCTACCCTGAGCATCCCCAGCTCCCGGAGCTTTGATCCCGTTCTGTGTTGGAAAATGTTCCCTTTTTTCTCAGGAAAGTGGCTCCTTCCCTTCGCCGAGCGCTTTGAAATCTGCCTTATGGAACTGGGATTTTTTTTTTCCCCACCCATAAAAGGCACCCTCCCAAAACGTTCACGTGGCCAAGTGGCCAAGAGAAAAGCTCTTCCCAAGTTTTCCTGGGAATGCCAGGGGAGTATCTCGGTACCTGGTGCAGCTTGGCCAGGACAGGGCCGGTCCTTTCCTTCTCCTCGTATTTCTCCACCTTGGATTGCAGGCGTTTGTAGTCCTGGAGTGTCTGTTCCCGCCTCTTCACGGCCATGTTCAGGCTGGGGAACACGCTGCTGAACCTGGAAAAAGGATGGGAAAGGGCTTGGGATGGGGTATTTCGGATGGATGCAGCGCCCGAGGCGCCCTGGGCCAGGTTCCCTGGCAGGGGGTTGGAATGAGAGGAGTTTTTCCCACCCAGACCATTCCAGGGCTCTGTGAGGATCACAGAATATACTGAATTAATGTGCTATTTCCACCAACCCCCTTTGGAAAGGCAATGTGCAGGCAGAGAAGCTGAATTAAAAGTCCCTGAAAAAATAAATATGAAGTGCAGCAATTTTGGGGTTTTTTTTGGCATTCTTCTCTTTTATCATTAATTTTTGCCTTTTTTTTTTTTTTTTTAATTTGCCTTTTTTGGCAATTTTTTTTATCTTTTTTTTTTTAATTTTTGAGAGGGCAAATTTTTTTTGCTATTCTGGGCAATTTTGGGGTTGCAAACCCGGGTCTGACCCCCTCCCCAGAAGGATTAACAGCATCCAACAATTAAGCCAGGCCACGGGAAGATTCCTATTATTAAAATGTGTTACAAATCGAGGAAACAACGAACATCTGACAGGGGAGACGAGAGAGAACATTTTGGAATGTGACAGAAAAGGGAAAAGCAGGAACTGGAGCTTTGCTCTTGTCTCCCAAATTCCAGTAAATCAAATTACACCAGTGGGAAGCAGGGCTGGGCTGTGGGTTCGTATCAAAGGGGTGATGCTCCCTCTGGAGATATTAATTTAATATTCATAATTTATAGGGTGGTTTGGGGGGGGGAGTCAAAGATGGGATTGGCGGTGAAAAATGTATCTGAACAGCCTGGTGATGGATTCCAGTTCCAAGAGGGAACAAACAGCTTTTCCACATCTTTAAAAGGGAAAAGAAAAATATATATATATATATATATATATATACACATATATACACACAAATATAAAGTGACTGGGGGGCACATTAGCAAAAAGAAAAGACACAAATATCCCTTGATGAGTGTAATTTGCTTTAGATGTGACCTAAATCCAGGGTTCAACTGAAACCACGGGTGTTCCCAGCCACTCCATCCCCTATTAAAATCCCATTTTCCGCCACTGCGCTCACTCCCGAGGGGGCTGATGTGCTGGACTGGTGGGTGCCCAGGGAAAAACTCTTATCCCTGAGCAAAGGGCGAATGCCAGGAGCGAGGGAGAAGTGGGAATATTTGCATTTGTGTGGAGCATCCCTCGCTGAGATGCTGGAGAGGGACGTGATCCTCCAATCCCGGCCGGTCCCTGCACAACACCCCTCTCCGAGGCTCTCATGCCTGGCACAGAACAAATATATACAAATATATATTTATCCCATGATATTCTCCCTCTGACCGACGCTATTGCGACAGATTGGGGCTGTGGCACGAGGAACAACCTGGAAAAGTCATCAGGGAGCTTTTCCAGCTGCCCAGGGCGGATCAGATGCTCTGCCCTGACATTGCTTTTTATGGGCACCGTCCCACACGGTCCCATTATATTTAAATGGGTGACAGGTCCTGGGCTTCCAGGCATGGCCTCACCAGCTCCTGGGCTGCTAAAATATCTCCTACCTCTTTATAAAAAGTCCAAAAAAATACACCAGGAGAGGTGGTTAGGGGAATAGGGATAGGAGGGAAGGAGGGCACGGAGGATGGGAAGGGGTGGTTGAGAGGTCTCACAAAAAAACTGGTTTGGTTTCATAGAATCATGGAATGGTTTGGGTTGGAAGGGAGCTGAGCTGCTCCTCCACAGTGAGAATCCAGGCATGGGAATGGCAGAGGAGATGGCCTGAGGCTGGGAAACCCTCCCTTCTCTGCTGTGCAGCAAGGTGGTCACCATCCAGGACGCCCTGGATGTGGCCGTCGCCTCCCGCCCATCCACCAGCTCTTGGAAAACACTTACAGAGACGCCTCTCAAAACCACTGAGCCTTCTGCTGGCACCTAAGCCCAACCTTTCCCTGGCATGTCCACGGTGGTCCTGCATTAGCAGGAGCCACGAGACACCAGAGAACCCACACGCACCCACTTCCACCCCCAAACCCGCTCTGCAGCGAGTGAGGACGCGGAAAGACGAGCAGCGACGTGGTTTCCGCTCACTTTGAAGTCAAATCTGGTTTTTAAAGAGGAGAAAAGGCTCGATTTTGATTTTTTTTGTGGTTTTTTTTCCTTTTTTTTGTTCCCCTTTTTCATTCCAGGCATCGACTCGGAGCAATTTCGCAGCCCGTGATGGAAGGACGCTGCGCTCCGGCAGTGCTTTATAAAATATCTACAGGGCTGGATCTGAAGAGGCTGTAACTGTGTAGGCACAGCAACTACTGTCTCACAAGGACTTTTAATGCATAGATTATACGCTGCATTTCAGAGGGAAGGGGGGGGCTCAGCTGCCTGGATCTGCAGCCGTGCCCAGCTCTGAGAGTCCTGAGTTCCTGGGAATCATCGAATCGTGGAATGGTTTGGGTTGGAAGGGACTTGAAATCATCTTGTTCCAGCCCCTGCCATGGGCAGGGACACCTTCCACCATCCCAGGTTGCTCCAACCTGGCCTTGGGCACTTACAGGGATGGGGCAGCCACAGATTCTCTGGGAATTCCATCCCAGCTCCTCACCACCCTCACAGGGAAGGATTTCCTCCTAATATCTAATTTAAATCTCATCTTTCCTAGTTTAAACCCATTCCCTGTTGTGCCAGTGTGGTGATCCTTCACCTCCAGCGCCAGCACGAAGGGTTGGGTCAGTTGTGGCAGCCAAGGTGCCACCAAGCTGTCCCCGTGCCAGCCAAGCCTTTCCTGTGCCCACCAAGCTCTCCCCGTGCCAGCCAAGCCACTTGGTTTAATTTTCACGCAGGATTAGCTCAGCTCAAGCAGGGGAAGATGCTCCTTGCTTGGACTGCTGTGGATTGAGGCAAAGCTGCCTCCAGCTCTTGAAGGAATGACTCCATCTGAATCCTGGCAGCTCTGAAATCCCCTGGGCTTCACAGGCAAGGGGCTTCTTGCCCGTGCTGATGTCCTGCCCAGGTTTTTTATCTCCCTGTGTGGACAGAAATACGATCCCAAGTGGAGTGCTGGGGGGGTAAACGCCTGTGCAGGGTGACAGGCTGATACGGGGCTCGCGCCAGTGCCAAGTTATTCCTGCGGCTTCATAACTTCACACGCCGGCCCAGTGCCTTCCCAACCATCCCATGCATGTTATTTCCAACTGCTGCCGGTGCAAAGCCTGGCACAAAGGCGCCTGCAGAGCTCCTGCCATCCCCAGGCACATCCAAAGCCCTCCAAGAGCAACCCCACGGGGATCAAAGATGCTCTCCAAAGCCTCCGGGCTGAGGAGTGTGGTTGGACAAGGACCAACCCCAGTGCCACGGGAGGGGAGAAACACCCAAGCAGCACCAGCCCCTCTGGAAATGGAGTCTGAACAACTAAACCATGTCCCCAAGTGCCACATCCACGTTTTTTGAACACTTCCAGGGATGGGGACTCCATCCCTGCCCTGGGTAGCCTGTTCCAACGACCCTTTCCATGAAAAAAAAATCCTAATATCTAACCTTATCAATAATGCCAGCACCATCCTCCTCCCTGTGCTCTTCCCAGCCCCTGCTTCCATAGGGAATGAGGGGGTCTGATGGCCATAAACAGCCCCAAATCCCCACCACCGCCCTCTGCTACTCGAGTTCTAATTTGTTTTAACACAAAACAAAAATCAAAGCTGACTCGAATCAAATTTGGTGGGAAGGGTGGTGAAGTGAAGGTAAAACAGCAGCACGGGGGTATTAAGAGCCCCAGCCACGAAAGCAGCTTGTGGAATAAGCTGCTGTTGTTCCCTGTCACTTTTTAGGGAAGGCTGCTGAGAGGGGATTACAGCCCAGGCGGCTTAAGAGGAGCAGGTGAGGGGAGATACGCAGGGATAATGAAAAGAAAATACAAATTACTATCTCCCTGCTGCTGTGGAGGGGGGGAGAGGGGGAACCTGCCGGTGAACTCCTCACGGGATGACAGGTTATCCTTGGGAAAACATCTAAATCACCCCGTTCTGTGAATTATAAATCACGTTGCCACCTCATCTCCACATCGGCCTCCCTTCGGCTCCCCGTAATTAAAGGGTGGGGTTGGAGAGACGCTGCCACAGGAGATAAAAGTGCCCCCCAGGATTCCTGGCACAGCTGGATCTGTTTGTTTGTCACCCCAGCTGACAAGTCTGGGGCTTGAGAATTGAAAACTTCTCCCGGTCTCTCCGCTGGGAAGGCCAAGGATGGGGATGGTGGGGATGCTGGAGGAGCGGGAACATCCCGTCACCTCCCCACCCGCACAGCTCTTCTCCTCGCCCTCTCCATCCCAAATCCTCACCCCACAGCTTCCTCCAGCCCCCATTTTTAGAGCCAGCAATGGGAAAGAGGTGCTAGGGCTTTGGCACAGGGAAAAAAATTATGGTTAAACCTTTATTTTTCCCCATTTTCAAGTGTCTCAAACGCTCCTGCTGGCAGCCCGTGAGCTGGACTAGGCTGGCACACAGGTGGCTCTTCCCTTTGGCATTATTTTAGGGATGATGGTTTGGATAATGAAAGCAAAAGGGGTTGGTGTTGGACAGGGGAAAAGAAAAGGAATAACGGGAGCTGGGGAGCATCAGATGCAAAAGAAAGTGAAGCTGGGAGAGGCACCGGGACGGCTCAGGGGATTCCTGCCATTCCTCAGCCAGTGCCCACACGTCCCGTCCACCCACCAGGAAGGGGGAAATTAAAACCAGCCCTTCCGAGGGGAGGGAGAAGGGCCAGGCCGGAGGGGGCCGGGCCAGGGGAGCGGCACAGAGGGGGATTAGGCGGCGCAGGGGCCATGTGGCTGCTCTGGCCTCCAAATCCTCATTAGGGGCTCGTTAAGGACATGAAAGCGGCTTTTCCTGCTTCCGGTCCCGGCACCCCTGGAGCTGCTCGTGGCCCGTGATCGGCTTCGGCCTCGCTGGCAGGAAAGGCACTTTGTGGGGTTTAGGGAATGGTGGGGTGATGGGATGAAGGGGGTGATCCCCTCCCCAGGGTCGCTCTCGAGACACGCAGCTCTCACTGAATTTTACACATCAATCTGCTGCTGGATCCCACCTCTGGGATGTCCCACGGGGCTGACACACACCCCTGCATGGTGGCACCCCGGTGGCAGCACCCTCTGAGTCACCCCTGCCGAAGCCAGGGTGACCAGGACATTCCCATGGCCAAAGCCCTCCAGTTTTGGGAGCAGGACCACATACCAACCAAAGGGATGAACACTGTGCCAGGGCGACCAGGACACTCCCATGACTAAACTCTCTCCAGTTCCAGAAGCAGGAGAATGTTCCAAAGGGAGGACACTGCGCTGGGGTGACCATGACATCCCCGTGGCCAAAACCCCTCCGATTTTGGGAGCAGGACCATGTTCCCATCATTTTCAGGAGCAGGATCACACTCCAAGGGGGTGATGCCGTGCCAGGGTGACCACGACATTCCCATGGCTAAAGCCTCTCTGGTTTTGGGAGCTGGACATCACTCCAAGAGGATTGTGGAGTGACCACGGCATCCCCATGGCCAAACCCCTCCAGCTCTGGCAGCAGGTCCATGCTTGGAGCCCAGGGAATGGCACCAGGTGAGCACCACACCCCCTTACTCAGACAGAGGCTGTTAAATCGAGACCCTGAGGCCCTGAAAATCATCTTTGAACGTGAAAGGCCCTAAATCCCACGGATCTCCGAACCACCTGGCTTGTTTAAGCCGCTTCCTCCCTTAAATACGGACGCACAACATGCAACACCACCAATCCCTGCCCCTGCCCTGGCTGCTCACCCTGAGCCAGAGTGAACAACTGGGAGAGGGAAGGGAGAAAAAACAGCTGCTTTTCTCCCCCTTTGCCCCAAAATCCACTGATCTGGTGTGAAACTACACAGGCATCTCCCGAAGAGGAGCCGATCCCTCCCGACCCTGCCCAGCTCCCTGCCCAACCCACCCGCTGAAATATGCAATATTCTCACTGGGGCTTTGCTCCTTCCCCGAAAATAAATGAGTAATTCCCAGCCAAGGGGCTCAAAAAGCCAAATTATGAATAACCCTCCGTCCCCAGAAGGAGAAGGATTTAAACAATACGAGCCTCCACCTCCCCCCCCCTCCCTCCCCTCTCTAAATCTACTACTGCTTTTTTCCAACATGGTTTAACAAATTCCCCAATATTTGCCTGCAAACTCCAATCCCTGGACAACTGAATGGAGATTTTACAGCCCATGTGCCTCTGATTACAATATATTACCACTAATGATAATTGTCTGGATTAAACTTATCTGTTTCTTTGGCTAATAAACTATAAAAGACCACCAGTGAAGATGTAATAAAGTGCAGCTGTTGGAGCATAAAACAAAAAAAAAAAAAAAAAAAAAAAAGCCTTTTTTTCTAGGTCAAAGCAAATTTGGGAGAGGCTCGGGAGAGCTGCCTCGGTGAGGGGAAGGAATACCTAACTGGAAATGAGAAGGAGCTCCTCAAGGCAGCTTTCATTAATCTGGGACTTTTATCCCAGAAATGTCGCCGGGGTTTATTTGCCAGCAGGACAAGGGGAGGTGCAAACTCTGCACTTCTCTCCTGCATCTCATTAGCCTCAAAATGGACCCTTGGGCTCCTCAGAAATGTTCCTGGCCGGGGATGCACCTACAAAGGGAGGAGGAGGGAAGGAAAGGACGGGTTTTTTTGGGCTCAGTGTGGAGGTGCAGCTTCCCCAGCACGAAACATAAGCTGGTTGAGGGCACCCAGCGATGGTTTGCAGGTGCCAAAGGGCAGGAAAGGGGAGTGGAAGAAGGAATATCATATTCTAGGCCAATGGAAATTTTAGGAAGTTGGGGAGAATTGCCAAGCCTGGAGAGCAGCCAGGAGGTTGGAGAAAACACCCTTATGTTTAACTTAAGGGTTGGAGAGATAATTGATGATCCCGTGTCTTGGGATCATGGAACGGTTTGGGTTGGGAGGGATCTTAAGGATCATCCAGTTCCAACCCCCTGCCATGGGCAGGGACACCTTCCACTAGACCAGGTTGCTCCAAGTCCCCTCCAATCTAGCTAGCCTTGGACAATCCAGGGGCATCCTCTGGAAAATCCATTCTAGCCCCTCCCCACCCTCAGAGGGAGGAATTTCTCCCCAGTGTCCCATCTAACCCTGCCCTCTGGCAGTGGGAAGCCATTCCCTGTGTCCTGTCCCTCCATCCCTTGTCCCCAGTCCTTCTCCAGCTTTCCTGGAGCCCCTTTAGGCCCTGGAAGGGGCTCTCAGGTCTCCCTGGATTCTTCTCTTCTCCAGGTGAACCCCCCCAGCCTGGTTCCAGAGCAGAGGGGCTCCAGCCCTTGGAGCATCTCCACAGCCATGGACACATGGAAATTGGCTTTATTCTCCTCAGTTAACCACCCCAGGTTTTAAAACACAAGGAAGGTTTGCAGGGAAAGGGATTGTCTTTCATTTCATCAACTAACACAAGCTGGGCAAAAAAAAAAACACATAGTATTTCAGAAACACAAGTTCTTCCAATTTTAACAGAATGCTGGAAGAAGAAGTTAATGTATCTTTCATGAGGACAATCTAGATAATAAGCAACACAATTCCACAGCAAAAGGCTGGGATTTTTTTTCCTTTTTCTTTCCTTCTTTCTTCCTTTTTTTCCCCCCCCTTAAATAAGCAAGAATTTCTGGTCGTGGAAAGACGATCGAGGTAAAACTTGAGTCACCAAACATCCCCCAGACAGGAACACGCTGTAACCTCAGGTGCTAAGTGATCCAGGAGATTTTACTTTCAGATTTGGGTAGAAACAACAAGCTAAGGGGGAAAAAAAAACAAACCCAAAAAACAAAAACCCAAAACCACAACAGCCCTCCGCGTGTCAAACCTAAACTAAAATTGTTATTCAGCAATTTGCAACACTTACTGTCATATTACGGTAATTTCATTTTATTTTTGCTCCCTTTGCTCTGTTCCTGTAACAAAACAGCAAATCTCAGGATTTCAGAGGGTACTGGGGAGAGAACCGAAGTGATCCTCAAAGGTTTGGGGGGGTACAACCTGTGACCCTGGGAAAGGTGGGAATTTTGCAAACCAGGGTGACAAAACCTGCGGGGTTTGGGGGCTGGGCAGTGGGGAGGAAGGGTTGATTTCCAGCCTGGCAGCACCTCTCCCCTGTGATCCACATCCCTAAAGCACAGGATTATGACAACCCCCCTATGTGGCTCACGAAATGATGCTGGTACTTACTTTTTCAGAGGCTCTATGACTGTCTTTTGGATCTGATTCACCTGTAGGAAGCAAAAGTGGATGGTTGGAAACGCCAGTTAGCAGAAGGAGGGGCTTGCACAGAGCCCACCACGGGGTGGTTTGGGATTTGGGGAACAGCTCTTAAACCAAAAAGAGGTAGATTTGCCCCTTGTGCTCAGGGAGAGCAGAAACCCCCAGTACAACCAGCCAGGAGGATGAGATTAGAGAGAAACTTGTGTGGGAAAAGCCTTGGGATGATGATAAAAAGGGAAGGAGGATCTGCCTGGAAGGGCGAGATACAAGGGATGGAGGGACAGGACACAGGGAATGGCTTCCCACTGCCAGAGGGCAGGGATAGATGGGACACTGGGAAGAAATTCCTCCCTGGGAGGGTGGGGAGGGGCTGGGATGGAATCCCCAGAGGAGCTGTGGCTGCCCCATCCCTGGAAGTGCCCAAGGCCAGCTTGGAGCAACCTGGGCTGGTGGGAGGTGTCCCTGCCTGTGGCAGGGGGGGTGGAAGAACTGGATGAGCTTTAAGATTCCTTCCAAGCCAAGGCACTGCGGGATTCCACACCAGCAGCACACCCTGCTCTCCCCTTCCTCAGCCACAGCCAGCTCACCTTCTCCTGGTTGAAGGAGTCCATCCTCTTCATGGCCGTGTCGAAGGCCGTGACCATCTCCAGGAACCCCGGCTCCTGCTCGCACAGCGGGTTGGACAGCAGGTCCGAGGAGATTTTCACGGCAGACTTGGACATGGCTGTGGGAGCAGGGAGAAGAAAGCAGAGAGGGTCATGCCTCCCTCTGCCAGGGCTGGCACAAGCACCTGCACGGGGCAGCAGGGCAAAAATCAGGCGCCTCAGCCGCCCAGGAGGGGGTTTAGCACAACCTTCCAGGGAGACACTCGCTGGTGGCTGAGGGAAAAGAGAGGAAAAGCCACCAATTCATTCATGTAAACACCCAGAGAACTGTTTTTATATAAGTTGAGTCTGAGCCACTCCGATGCACGGCTTGTGACGCTGCCAGAAATAATCCCAGGCTAACAAAAGCACTGTTCTCTTGGAAAAAAAAAAAAAAAAAAAACAACAAACCCTAGATGGGGGCTTTTATACATCTTTTCTCGACAGACTATTAAGTGTCACTCTCAGCCTCACTACAGCTCTTCCACAATGAGAAAAATCACAGTCCATTAAGTCTTTCAAATGGTTTTACAAAAAAATAAAAAAAATATGTATTTGAAGTGGATTTAGTGGGAAAGGACCAGACTGACAGGGCTGGAAGATGGGGTTTCTCTTTCCCTCTCCAGCAGCAATGACACAAGTTTAGCATTTTCCCCAGTAAGCCTAAATTTTGTGCCCGTGGGGAACAAGCCAGAGGGCAATGCAAAGTCCCTTCAGACCCTGGGAGTGCCACCAAGAAGTCCAGAAACACCAGGCCACGCTCTGATGGGCTTCAGCTCCTGTCTCACTGAGCTTGTTTCCCATCAGACACATCCCCCTTTTTCCAAACACTTGGGTCTTCAAAGGGAAAATTCAATCCCTGCGACAGAACCACTACAAAAGAACAAGAAATTAGCTAAGGTACAGAATGGGAAAAAAAAATAAAAAAGATGAATAAAAAAGGAAAAGCATCACTATAAACAGGGTTTAAAAAAAAAAAAAAAAAAGCACCATGGGTACTAAAAAAAAAAAAAAAAAAACCAAAATAAAATAAAATGTTCTTTTTCCTCGGTGCTGGAAGTTATTCCAGTTTGAGATCAGAAAGCCAGATGCTTGAGCCGTGCTACGGAGGAGCTTTGGAAAGGCTCCTACTGTACTCCCTCAGATATTCAAAGTTAAAGCCATCTCGAATAATGGGGCTTAAGATCATAAATCAAGGGGTTAAACGCTGTGATTTAAAGGTTACACACAATTATACAGAGAGCTCAGAAGCTGCAGAGCCGGGGAGCTCAATGCAGAACGAGCCTCTGACTACGGAATAACAAAGCTACCGTATCCATCTATTATCCAAACGTTAGGGCTTTAGGCATTTTAAACCTTTAAACAGATGGGATATAATCCATATGTGTGACCACATCTGAGGAGGGATTTGTGCCAGAACGGGACGGAGTTGAAGAACGGCACAACTCGGGAAAAATTAAGTTTCCCTTCGCAGGAGAGGACTGCAAGTGAACTGCAGGGTGGGGAGAGGCTGGGAGGTCGGGAATTGGGGGGGGGAGTTGGGAATGTTCAAGGGGAATTTGGGTCAGGAATTTCCTCTGCGTCACTGGCCTCACCTGCACGGCGCTGAAAAGGCACTGAGGGGGGCTCTGAGGGCAGAGGAGAGGAGAGGGAAGAAAGGAAAGAGGGGAGGGGGAGAAGGGACCAGGTGTCCCTCAGGGTCGCCTTCAGGAGGGTCTGCATTGCTCTTTGCTCATAAAGCATGTGAGATGCAGCTCCAGCCAAAGGAATTTAGGATTTTAGAGTCCACTGCTTGTTTGCATCGTGATAAAAGTAAAGGAGAAGACTGAGAGCAGACCTGAGCCACTGGGATTCAGTGGGTTACCTGCACCTCATCCCAATGGAGACCTTTTATCTCCAGTTAAAGAACATCCTCCTGCTCCCTAAGATCCTGCTTTCTTTGGAAAGAGGGTGGGGAAAGGGGTGAGTGATCTTTAGCCACGGGACAGGGAGTGCTGCTGATATCCCATTCCCCGTTCCAGCCACGCTGCTGCAGCTGGAAGAGCCTCAAAGAGATATTTCTGTGCAGACAGAGGAACTGGCCTTGTTCTGGGATGAGTTTTTTGGGAACAAGGTGGAGACCTGAGCCATCAGGTCCAGTTTGCCAGGGAGTGTTTGCAGGCAGTGAACAACCAACCCCCTCAGCACAGAGGGACAAGGACAGGAGGACACAACACCGTGGATAAACCACCATTCCTGTCAGAGATGGGGGCTGGATGATGGCTGAGCAAGCACAGTGATGTCCTCTGGGGAATGGGCACTGCCAGGTGAGGAGAGCAATCCTCAGGGACCCATCTGATCCACCTCCTTTCCCCTCAGCCATCCCTCACCAGACTGTGCTCGACATCTTCCCCTACTCTCATGATTTCATGCCTTTAAATGAGAAATCAGATCTTCCTGGATCTGGCCAAGGCTCATTTGTGACTCTGCCATGTAGCAGAACGGAAAAAGAAAGTCCTCCCACAGCTCCTCTGGGACTTGAAATGCTCCATATAAACAACGCCCACTGCAAGGGAGGGGAGGGGAATCCTTAACAAGGAAAAACTTACCAAGGATCCCTGACAATGACCAGAGTCCTCGGAAAGGGCAGCTTTCACCCTGGCAAAGAGTCCTGGTAGTGCCTGCTTCTGGTGCCTTTCCCACCACTCTCCCTGTGCCGGGAAAGGGTGGGAGAGCACGGCAAGCGCCCGGATCCGTGTTTGTGTCTGGCATATCCAGGCACACACAAACACACAGGTGAGTCTGGATCATGGGAAGCCCCGAATCTGCCAGCTGGTGGGGCTCCTTCCCACTCCCTGTGCCCTGCTGTGACCCCAATCCCGCGGGATGAGTGTTGGCCCGGCCCAGCCCACCCCTGTTTGAGCTGGTGCATCAGCCTTGGCTCTGGAGCTGTGGGGGCCCGGCACAAACAGGGACTGCTCCAAAACACACGCTGAGGAAAACCATCTGTGTGTTTAAAGCAGCTCCTTGCTGCAGGTTCCTGCCCCTGCTCTGTTCAATAACTGATGCCCAACAAATCCAGCTCCCAGTTCCCCCCCCGGCGGATCTGCGTCCGTGTGGTGTGGGAATGCTGGTTTCCCACTGGAGGAGCTCTGGAGGGAGCAGGGAGGTGCTGTGAGGTGGGACAGGACACCTGAAAGGGCACATGTCACCCCAAACACGCAGCTGTGGCGGGTGCAGGCAGAGCTGAGCTGTTTATGGCTTCCTGCATCGCCCACTGCCACGAGGAGAAGCCAAAGGAAGCAGCCAGGGAATCAGGAGGGTTATTCCCGAATGAGAGCTGCCAGGTCAGCAGTTCCTACGGGAAACACGGACAGCCTGTGCTCTGCAGGCCCCCCAAAGCCTTGTCCCACCCTCCTGGGGTGCTCAGTGCCCTTCAGTGCAGCAGGTGATTTATGCCCTGCTGGCACAGGAGGCTCAGCTGGAGCTGCCCCTGCCTGGCTGATGCGAGAACTGGAATAGTGACGCCCATTTTTCGCTCGCAGAAACTGAGGCAGGGAAAACAAAGGGATTTGTCCAAGGCCACGGAGCTCAGGAGACAGGGACCAAGCCTGGAACACACTCTGTGTTCCCTGGGCTGAGCTGCTGCTCGCAGCCCTCTCGCAGATGGCCTTGTAACTAAGCAAACTGAGTGGGACTGAGCTCGGGATTTGTTTTCCAGGCTTGTCACACATTACTCATGTGATCTTGAGAAAGTCACTTCATCTCTTTGTGGCCAAGTTCACAGTCTATGTATCCTACAGTCACTTACCCAAGTCTGCATCTGTGCTTTTCTTCATATCCTTCTGAAGTTTTTTGGTCTGATCTTCCAATCTGAAAGATGGGAGAAGAAGGCAAAGTCGGAATCTTGGAAAGAAAGAAACCCAAGTGTATCATACACGCAACAAATCATTTACGGGCTGAATATGCTGGCTTCTGGTGGGAGTTAAAAATATCCAGGCAAGGCTCTACGAAGTTCAGTGCAGCTCAACCCTTTTGGGTTGTTTTCAGATGGTTTTTTAACCTTTTCAAGTTGGTGATCTCTTATTCATAGTTCACATATTTTCTTAAAGTCCTCACACAGCACAAATGGCAAAGCCAAATGCTTCCAGATGATCCCTGCGAGCTCCTGTGACACAGCCAGGATGGCAAAGCCACTCCTGATCCTCAGAGATGTTGGGCTGTTCAGGGAGCCCACATTTTCTGGGAATTTCACGCTCTTTTTCGGAGCTGCCATAATCTGCAAACCTCAACCCCACTGCAAACACTTCTTAGGACACCTTCCAACACTCAGCCACCAGAGAAACTCTGAAGAATTAGAAATTATAGGGCAGTGAGCGATCTGCTCCCTGGGAAGAGCATAACTGGCTAAAATTCCCTGGGAAGAGGCAGTAAGAGGACAGGAGAGAAGCATGTGGCCAGTCCTGTCTGACCAGTGTGGTTGATACTCACTGCTGCAGCTTCCCATATTCCCTTTCAAAGTCTCTCTCCACCTGTGGAAAGAAGAGATGGAAATCAGCTCCAAGGGACTGCAGGGGAGCCCGGAGTGGCAAAGCTTTGCAGGGAAACCTGTCCCTGGGAAGTGCCAACCTGAACCCTGGGAAGCACAGGCTGCAGCTGTAACGGGTTATTGCTCCGAAAGGAAATGCAACCTTGGGGTTTTTCGACTCCAGACTCCCATGAAACCCTTCAGCTGGAACAACGATCCAAGTGGACTGTGACACCTCAAAAAGGGAGTGGAAAACCTGTGCTGGGAGCTCAGGCACAGCCTTCTCCCGATGCTCCCTCAATGACTGCTCCCTCCTACTTGCTATCTGGCAGCAGATCTCCAGCGATGGGAGATATTTTAGGGAACTTTCTTTCCATGCTGACTGTTTTAACACACTCGAAACATTCATTCCACACCTCGTCAACCAAAGAAGCAAATGGATTTCAATTGACCAGCCAAGAGTAAATACATGCGCGTTTGTTGTCATGGGACCAGCACCGGGTTCACTTGTGTTGTCAAGCTCCTGTGCTATTAAGGAAGTGTGGAGTGCTGGAGGCAGCCAGGACTAGAAGGATCCAAAGGTTTGTTCCAATTCCTCATGCTGTCCTCGGGATTTCAATCCCAGGCTCGACGCGACACCCGAGCGCTTAACGGGGATGTTGTCGAGCGAAATTAAAAGATCCGAATTTTAAGATGGGAGCTCAGAAATCCTCCTTTTCTAAGTCTTTTTTTGAGGGGGGTGGGGCTGCACTGGAGCTCCCCCAGCCTGGTGTGAAGGCAGGCAGCGACCAGCCACGTCCCAGCCCCATCCCAGTGGCCAGCTGTCCGCACCATCAGCTCCCACCATCCGGGGGATGCGAGCTGGCTCTCCCTGTGTGCTGAAATAAAAAAAAAAAAAATAGAAAAGAAAAAAAACCCACAAACCCCCCACGGAGCTCCAGCTCCCTTTCTGCGCTGCTAAAATTGGTCGCTGGAGAACGGGAACGGAGCAGTGTGGGGGCAGCTCACACGACTTCGTGCCTGGTGTTCGCAGAGCCGCAGAAATCCGCGGCAGCTGGTGCCGGGAGGTCAGGTAACCGGCACGGGGGAAAGCTCACCCTCCATCCCCATGGCTGTTCCGGCTGCTGAAATAACCAGGGGAGGGCTGCACTCTATTTATAAAGCCCTAGGTGTGAATTGTTTTGGTTGCAAACCAGAGAGGGTGGGGCGCGACTCAGAAATATGCCCTGTGAAGGCTCGGTGGTGTCGTTCCCTTGGCGTGGAGCTCCAGCCTTCCCCACGTTCTGCAGGATCTTCCTGGTGTCTGCTTGGCAACCAGCTCCTCCAAAACCTGGAGGGTTTGGTTATGAAACTGAACTACCTGCAAACACTCGGGGTATCTGTCCCCTTTTGCTGTCAGATTCCCTCGTTTCTGTGCAAGAAGCTGAATGGATATGGAGCACTTCCAGTGCCTAAAGGGGCTCCAGGAGAGCTGGAGAACTTTAAGATCCCTCCCAACCCCAACCATTCTAGGATTCTAGGATTCATTCCACAAAGGCAAAACCTCCCCATAGGTGCTGTGAACTCCCAAACCTGCCAAGCTCCCCCAAACCCCCCCCACCCCAGTGAGCTTTCCACACGGGATTGAGGTGACTCCCCACAGAGACACTTCAGCTGCCTGGCCTGACTCACATCCCCAGCCCATCTCTCCACAGACAGCTGCCCATGGATTGCTCTTATTTTTCACGCCCACAGGCAGCAACTGGCTCCCAGTCATCACAGTCTGGGAGCTCATGGAGCCTCCCAGACATCGCCACTCCCGCCGGCACCACGGGAGCCCAGATATCCCACAAAACCAGCCAGGAGCTGAGCGCTCTGGAGAGGGAAAACCTTCTGCCACGTGCTCCCACCGTGCAGATCCCCAGGTAGGTGAGGCCAAGCTGAGAACATCTCACAGAGCACCCAGTAATTCCCGCTCCCAGTAGCTGTCAATGGCCACACGCAGCCGGGGCCGTGGAGAGAATTGTCACGTTAAAGAGTAACGAGAACAAGAAGTACAGGCAAGAAAATTACAATATCCTGAAGGGAAGTTTCCGTGATATTAAAATAATCCCACTTCTCCGCAGCCTCTCTCTCTGAGAGAACTCAAAAAATCAAACCGTGTTTCTGCATCGAATCTTTTTCTTTTTTTTTTTCCTTTTTCTTCCAGGCACAGGGGCTGGGAAATGTAAAAAAACTGCTCGACTCGGGGGTTTTTATTTAAATCTACATAAAGAACGACGAGCTCTTGGAAGCTCTGAGATGAAACAACGTCCTTCTTCACCCAGTTATTTTTTTTTGTCTGTTTGCAAACACTGGGCCTCCCACCTGCGATAACATCCCTCCTGCTTTAAGGGCAGGATCGTAATCACCACCACGGTTACACGGCAATGAACCAAGACCAAAGCCAGTACTACAAAGGGATGGAAATAAGGGACTGTGATGAACCTTCCTATTCCCCAGAGGTTTATTTTTTCTCCTGGAGGAGGAGGATGAGCTGATTTCTACATGTTCCTGTGGTCTCAGCCTCTTTCGTGGGTCTTGGGTAGAAGAGGAGAGCGTGTGTTTCTTCTTCCCTCCCCTCCAAAAAAAAAAAAAAAAAAAAAAAAAAACTCATATAATTAGAACAGAAATTCTGTTATAACCTGGAATTTCTGCTGAGCTTTTGCCATCCCATCAAGCTGGAGGTTCAAGGTTAAGCCACGTGGGTGAATATTCACCCTGCAGAGCCCTGAGCCAGAGCAACGCTGCACAGTTCAGGTGGATCTGGGATGTCATGGACTTCACCCAGCAAGCTCTCCAAATCCCCAATCAGAAAGAAAGCTTTCCAGAAAGGTGGTAGAGGGGAAAAAAAGATGCACCTCCCAAACGCAGAGACCAGTTTGGTCCCACCAAAAATTGAAGTGAAAACGAATAAAATGGTTCGACCGAATAAATGAAAACGAATAAATGGTCACTTGATCTCACCCCCCACCATTTCTGTGACATTTACTCCGTTGTTTCGGGATTTCCAGCTCACTGGTGGAGCCCAGTGGAAAGGCACTGAGGGCCAGCAGCTGCAGTGGAATCCTCCTGCTCATGGAGCTCCTCTGTCCCACACCCCTGGGGAAGGCAGAGCTGCCGGGATGAGTCAAGGAAGGGAGTTTTGGCAGCTCAGGTCCCACTCCCTGCCAAGCTGACTCAGCCCAGGTTGGCCAGAGGGGAGGAGGAGGGAGAGTGGTCTGAGTCAGCCCAGGAGGGAGCAGGGATGAGGGAAGCAGGGAGGGGAGAAGGGATCAAACCCGGGTGATGTGAGGGGATGCGCTCCGGGTCACCCCATCCCAAGAACCGGCTGACTCCTGCAGGGAGAGGCATAGCCAGCTCTGCTCCCCTGCTCCCTGCCTGCTTGGATAACCCCAGCCCTGGTGAAGAGCAGGGAACAACCCTGGGGTGACATGGGTGAACTTCAGCGAGCTGGATCTGCGGGAGAGCTGGGGAAGACAAGAACAGTTCTGATTCCGTAACCTCTGCTCCGAGCGGAGCTGTCCCGAGGGATGGGAGAGCATCTCAGAACGATAAACGTTGTGCAGAGAGAGATGTAATTCCAGCAGGTTTAACTCCTATCACTGGGCATTAGTTTAATTGGGCTGTGGGGCTGTGTCCTGTGCTGCTCTGCTGACAGCAGGTCCTCGCTGCATTAGATCCTCCCACCCGGCTCCCGGCAAGCCCGGTGACAGCTGCTCTTTTCAGGGAAGAGGAGGGGAGAGATTATGCTGTCTGGAATTGGATTTGCCCAGGTTAAGGTGGAAACAAAGCAGAGGCACGTCTGGGGAGTGGGAGATCACCTCGGTTCACCAGCTGATATTTTCCACGGGTGTTTCCTGCTCCCTGAAGAGCTAAACTGTGGTTGACACCGTGCCCTTCTCCAAGGGATGAGAGGCGAGTGGGCACGGGGAGTCATGACTAATTCCTCGGCAGCCCAGGCAAATTGCTTTTCAGGACTAATGTCGGCCTGGATTTGACACCAGCCCCAGCATCGCTTCATCAGGACAACAGAACAGCCTCTCTGCAAAGCCACCCCCCTCTCCTGACTCCAGTCTCAGGCCTCGTGGAGAGCCAGAGAAGTCAGATCCTGACAAATGCCTTTTTTTTTTTTAGCTTCCCCCCCACGAGCCTCTTTTGTGGTCCAGTCCCTGTGAGTGGGAGATCCTCTACCCACAACCACTTCCCTTCTGATGGGCTTGGGATGCAGCCCTGGAGATGCCACACCTTCCCACTTCCTGCAGCGGGCTCCAGAGCCCAACATCTGGAATATCACAGACCTTGGCTGCTACTGCTGCTCCCAGAAGCCTGCACAGATGGAGCATCTCAGCCCGCAACCGGGAGGTAAATTTGGGGGCCTGCAGCTCGCCGGAGCTACAAAGCAACCCCATCCCTTCCACACCACGACACGGAACGCCTGATCCCAGGGGGATATCAGTGGTTTCCTGCCATTTGTTCTGCTTTGAAGAGCTGCACTTTGCACTTGGTGTGAAGTTCCAAGGCTTTGGGCTTCCTGTTTTCTGCTTTCCACGTATGTGCTGCCTGGAGAGTATCATCATCATCATCATCATCATCATCATCACACAGCAAGTGGAAGCCATTTAAAGATTGGTTTCCAACTTGGGAGTCCTTGACACAAAATCTTGTTCCTGGGAAGCTGAGGAAGGAAGGAAGGAAAAGGAAAAGGCCTGGGAACACTCTTGCTGCTGAACAAACCTCTGCCTGCCAGATATTCTGAGCTGTTCTATTTAATACACACACATATATATATAAGCAAAGCCTGCCAACTGCTTCAGAACAGCACATTCCAGCAGCTCTGGGGAAGGGAAGATCTCAAAAGGTGCCACTGTTCATCTGCAGGGAGCTCAAGCTTGGGAAGGGCTGATTTTAGGGGAGACAAACCTCTCGCAGCAGCGAATGCAGGAGGTGGTGAGGAAAACCAGCAAGAAAAAATGATACAGTCAGCTGGGATGTGAGAATGGGCAGGATGGGGACGTCCAGGAAAGCTGGTCAAGACACTCAGAGCTGCAGAGCAGTTGTGTCTTGCACCAGCCTGGAAGGACACTGGTGTTGGGAAGAGGGTGAGAGGCAAAATGCGACGGAGCAAGGAAAAGTGAGGGCTGCTGGTGTGAACTGGGAGGGGTGTGAACACCTGAGGCTGCCTCACCTGAGGGAGCACAGCCAGCCAGTGGATCGCCAACCCCCTGGAAAAGGGCAGCTGAAGGAGGTAGAAACCAGAAAGCACCGAGGAATTTTATCAGACCTCGTCTTGTCGCCTGCCTGGCTGAAATTCTGTACTGACAGTTTGGAGCTGTTACAGCAAATTGCAGTTCCACGGCAGCAGACAACCACCAAATCCTTCAGAATAAAACATGACAATCAAGCCTTAAAGGGAGTGGTGGGATTAGCCCTCTGCCTCCAGGGAAAAATGTCATGTCCCAAGGAGAAACTGCCCCCCAAGCAGGAGTGCCCACGCATCCTGCAGAATTAGCCGTGCTGAGCATCCTGGGGAGGAAGGATCAGGGATGTTAGTCTGGTTCAAGGGATTAGCTCACCAGTGCTGCTGGAGAGACAAGGTCCTGCCAGGGCCCTGATTTTAAGACCAGGTGTGCAGGTGACTTTGCAGGGGCAGCTCCTGGGAGGTTCCACAGCTTTTTTTTCTTCTTTTTTTTTTTTTCTTTTTTTCTGGCACGGGACAAATTGCAAAGCCAAGCTGCTTAAGGAGGGAAAATACCACAGGCAGCTGCAAGCAGCAGCAGCACTTGGGGTAGGAGCCTCAAATCCACGGGAATACAAAATGCTTTTTTAATTTGCTTTTAAAGCAAATGCTGTGCAGCACAAATTAATTCACGCCCGAGCACTAAAGCATCTCAGCTTATAAGCCTTTCTTTGGAAACAGTTATATTCAGCGATCTGAACCACTCCTCCTCCTCCATCTGCTCCGAAAGGATGAACAAACAAGCCCATTGCTGGGAGAAGGAAGGAAGGAAGGAAGGAAGCAAACCCGTTCAGCCATCTCCGAGGGAAAAACTGTGCCAGCCCAAAGAGCTCTTTCCCCACCCACCCTCCCCACACACCCTCCCAAAAAAATAATTTAAAAAAAAATATATATATAATTTAAACAGATCCCAAACCAAAACACTCTCCCTGGATGGGGCTGCTCCTCGCACGAGGAGCCGAGCGCTGGTCACACGCGGCAACAGGTTCTGCTGCTCCAGCTCCCTCCCACACGCCGCAAAATGGGACGAGTCAAAGTGCCGGCTTGACTCATCAGCCACATGATCCAAGGCTGGAGCTAAAAAGAGGGAACTGGTTTACTCACTGTCTTGGGTACAATCTGTTTCTTGGGCTGCCCGATCTTGAACGGGATCCTGGAAAAGAGAGGAGAGGGGAATGAGCGAGCGGCGACGCCCGGCCCCGAGGGGTTTGGGGGGAGCAGGGATTGTGTCCCCCGGTGCTTTGTGGACAGTGTGGACCCCCTGGAGAGGGGAAGGGTGGAAGAGGAGCCTGAGGGGAGACCCCACAGCATTCCACAACGAGGGGCAGCTCCAATCTCTGCTCCCTGTGAGCAGGGACAGCACCCAGGAAACGGCTGGAGCTGTGTCAGGGCAGGCTCAGGTTGGATCTCAGGGAAAGGTTCTTCCCTCAGAGGGTGGTTGGGCTCTGAACAGGCTCCCCAGGGTTTGGTCACAGCCCCCCAAATCTGCCAGAGCTCCAGGAGTGTTTTGGACAATGCTCTTAGCACGTGGTGGGATTGTTGGGGTGTCTGTGCAGAGTCAGTAGTTGTGGACTCTGATCCCTGTGGTTCCTTCCAACTCGGGATATTCCATGATTCTATGATTCCCCAAGAGCCACTGTCATCCCTAAGGTCAGCACCTCCAGCCCAGCACCTTCCCCACCCTCCTACCATCCCAAATAAACGCAAGGATGCTCCACAAACAGCTGAAGAACACCCTCTGCTTAAAAACAAACCTAATGGGGAGGATGAAGTAATAACAAAAACCCCAAACAAACCCTGTAAATATTTAGAAAGTGGATATTAAAAAAAGTAACAACCTGGGCTGTCTGGAGCTGCGAGCTGCTTCAAAGGATTCCTCTGCTCCAGCAGCTGGAGGAGCAGCTCACCTGCCAGCACAGCCTTCATTCTTAAAATCCTTAATTCCCAGGAAAATCTGGGTTACCTGAATGGTTTTCTCGAAGGTGAAGAGTACTCTAAATAAATTACACAACATATGTAAGGGTGGCTGGGTCAGCTGGGTACAGCCACGCTGCCAGCCTGAAAATAATTGGATTTCTTTCACGTAGCAGCACAATGAAAATCCAGGAATTCCACTGCTGTTTTTGGTGTATTTAATTAAGTTAAAGAGGTGCTGCTTGGTTAAAGCATCTCAGCCAAAATCTCTCAATATTTCTGCGCTGTGGTGGTTTAACTAAACAGAAAAATCAGGGCTCATGATGGAACGTTTCTTAGTGAAATCTAAGTATTTTTTTCCCAGAGATGCCTCACCTAGAGCTCAGTATCATCCCATCCCATCCCATCCCATCCCAAATCCATGTCAAGTGTTTCCCAGGAAGGTGCCCGAGTCACCTCTTGGACCAGTCCAAATTCTCACACTGCTACCCAAGGTTTGACCTAAAAAAACACGGATTTGGGGACTCTGGCTTGGCCTCTGCTCCTGCTGCCTCCCAGTTTGGCTTTTCCCACTGCTGGTTCCCAAACCAGCTCCACTTCCAAGTGCCCCCACGCCAGCACTGCTCTAACATTGCTCCATCCAGCAATGGGACCCCCAGACGACATTTTTACCACTGTAACCTGCTCTGAGCAATGGGGGAAAACGTCTGTGATGGAGCAACGTACCACCTGCATGGATGGGCAAAAAAAACCCCAGGATTATCCAACGCCCTTCCCGCCTTCCCTGCTGTTTTCAAACCACCAGCTTAATTACCCACCGGGAATAATCCAAGGGTTGCAACCCCTGTGCCCCTTCCTGAGCGGCTCCGGAGCCAACCTGAGTCACCGAGGTTTAAATTTAAATTTTTTCTGGAAGAACTTCCTGTTTATGGTTCTCTCGGTCGGGCTGATATAATTTCGGGTTTAACCCTTTCCCGCTCCCGCGGCAGCTGAATCACGCTCCTCTCGTAAACAAACACCCCTCTGGTGTATAATTTCCCTGTCAATAACTGGGGGGTGTGGTGCCTTACAGGAAGAAAACAAAAAAAAATAGATGGATTTTTTCTTTTTTTTTTCTTTTTCCCTCTCTCTCTCCTTTTGTGTTTTCTTTCCTCCCTGGGTCAAATATAAACTCAAATGAGGCACCGTCCAGGTGCCGTCACTCGACGTTTTTGGAAGTGATGGCATCCACTTGTCTTGGTGGAAGGAGTAAAAAAAAAAAATGGTGTTTTCTTTAACCAGGGGAGTGTTATCCCAGTTAAAACCAGTTTGCCATGCTGGCTGCTCGCTCTCCAGCTGGAGCCAGGCTGGTTCTTACCGGGGAAAGGACAATTAAAAAGGTGATTAAACAGCACTACCTGTGCACAAACTGCCCCTCCACCTTGTCTGGGGGATTCAGAGAGCAATCCAGACTGTCACTGTCCACTGAAAAACTGGGTTAAGTGCAGGGAATTCTGATGATAAGAGGGATGTGGGACAGGGAAAGCTGTGAATCAGCATCAGTTGGGTATTACAGAGCTGGGAGCACAGGCAGGGAAAGCAGCAGGAGCACAGGGTGGTTCCATCCCATCCCATTCCCTGTCTCTGTAGCATCACAGAGGAGAGTGAACCCCCCAGAATCCCAGCTAGTTTCTCCCAGAAGCAAAGGGAAGTCACTGGAGCGCTGCAAATCCACTGTGCAGCACTAAATACCCCTGTGAGTGTCGTGATGCCACTTGGTAATTATGTCTGTCTCAGTAAACTCTCTGTAAAAAATAACCCTGTGCGAGTCAGGTCTACTCCCTAGTTATTGGGGGGGTGTTTTTTTGTTCTATTTTACAATTTCAGATAATTTTCCTGGTTTCTGAATCTCTGCCTCTTAATATGGTTCTGTGGGGGGTAAAAAAAAAAAAAAAAAAAGATGAACAAGCAGGAAAGGCAGCAGTGAGGGAGGAAAAAAAAAAAAGCAAACCATGAGAGGTATGGATTGTACTGGAGGTTTTAAAACCCAATTATTTCACCCCACAAAAAAAAAAAAAAAGCCAAGTTCTGGTCTATAAACACCGAAAGAAAACCCAGAATCTGCGCTGCTTTTTTCCCCCTTTTTTTTTTTTTTTTTGATCTCTCGTTTCTGCTGAGCGAGAGAAAGCTGGGGTTGTGTTTGGGGTGTGAAATCCCTTGAAATCCCGTTCCTGAAGAGCGCGAGCGCTGAGTCACAGCCGGAGCCTTCCCACCCCCCCCCTCCGTGTGTCCCCCCTCCCCAACCACCACCACCACCACACCCCAGCACTGCGGGGCCAGGGGAGCATCCCGGCCCCTCCATCCCCCCCCTCCCCAGCAGGTCACCGGGAGTTTGGGAAGGCGGTGGGGGTTCAGCCGGGAGGGAGGAGGAGGAAGGCACTGCAGGGAGGGGGTGGGAAGAGCTTCAAGTAGGGAAAAAGAAGTGTGGGTGGAGAGAATCCTGCGAGCTCGACTCGGGGATGCTCAGGAACCCCAGGGAGGGGAAGGTGGGAGAAGCTGTGGCTGATTTTCTCTGAAGTTTCCCCAGCAATATCATATATTTACTTGGCTTTTCCATGTGCAAACCCAGGGCCACACACACCAAAGGAGCTTAATTCCCCTCTGGATGCACAGGAGAGTTGGGAACAAACCTCCCAGGCAGTGGGGGGGATACGGCTCAATGAGGTCCATGGGGAGCTGAAAACATGGAGCTCCCCCTCCCACTCCCCGCCAGTCCCCTGGAACGGAGGCACGTAGGAATTGCCAGCAGGAATCAGACCCAATCCTTGCTAATTTAGGGAGGAGATGGTCCTTTGGCTGGGCTGGACTGAGCAGGACATCAAATCCTGGCATCGCTCCTGGCTCCGGACGGAGCTCGGAGTGTGCCCGTGGGATAAATCACCGCTGGATGCGATCCTTTTCCCTGGCTCCTTCCATCTGAACGCGGCTTTGCCACCCCTCAGCAGGCCCCAGAAGACCCTCTGCAGATAAACAAGGGATAAAAACCAAGTATTTTCACCCACAGCCCATAAAATGCTGCCCCTGGGGATGCTGAGCTGCCAAGCAGGGGCTGGGGAAGGAAGGAAGGAGGATAGAGGGAAAAGCAGGAGCAGGAAAAACTGAGGCCAGGGTAGTTTGGAGGTTAATTAATTAGGGAAAAGTGGCACTGAGTCCCTGAATTCAATATTTTTGCCCCAGGTGGCATTGGCTGGGGGCCCACAGGAGTCGGTGTGGTATGAACTGGTGGCCACAACTGGTTTTTATCGGCACCACCACCTAAATCCATGTTCTGTGGGAAGTGCCCGCTTCCCGTGGAAAGTTTCAGGGCTTTTTTTTTTTTTTTTTTTTTTCCTTTTTTTTCCTTCCTCTCATCGAAACCCCAAGCGCCAGCACAGGCTGGATCCCCGCCAGAGCTTCTCACTCCTTGAATTTCCACCAAAAACCTCAATTCCTTCACCGGAAAGAAACCTCTCTCTGCCTGCAGGCAGGAGGACAACACTCAGCCTGTGAAGGTGACCCCGACCCACCAGGGTTGGTTTTCCCAAGGATTTTGCCATGTGGCGTGATGAGGGATCCTACAAAACTATCAGTTTTTTACCCAATCCCACATGAGGCCAAAAACTGACCCGAAGCTGCCCCAGAAACTGCCCCTGTGATGGGTGGGGCCCTCCCCTTTTTCCAGGCTCCCGATCCGGGAGCGGATTCAGCTCAAGGTGGAACTGCATCCAGGAAACCTTCCCCTTCACAGGGACCAGCTGCTGCCCAGGAGAGATCAAAGTGTTCCTGCAAACATCAACAGGAAGGTGGGGAGCACACGAGGAAGGATGTGAGCCTTCACTTTCTCACTCTGTTATCGACTGAACTCAATTCAGCTTCTCCTCCCCGTGCCGTGCCCTCTGCGCTCAGGTAAAGCATCCCCACGAGGTGCAGGTGTCAGGAAAGGACTTTTCCACGATATGGGAAGGCCAGGAAGTTCAAGGGTGGCTGGGACCTCCATGAGTAGTTGCTGGAGCAGGAGTGGTTCAGTGTTCCTGAGACTGATCCCTGACCTGGACAGGACCCAAAGAGAGGGAACACAGCAAAGGCTTCCAGGGAAACCAACCCTGGAAACCTGGACACAGTTCTCACCCCTAAAAACAGTACCTGGACCAGAGTTCGCATCCCTTGGGCTCCCTAAAAACCCCTAAAAGTGCAAATCCACGGCCACGAGGGCTGTTCTGGAACAGGCCCTTGGCACAGTGGGGGGATCCCAGCCCGGCCCAGGTGAGCCGGGCTCAGAGGCAGGCTCAGGTTAGGCATTAATCCCCAGCATCCATCCGGATGCCTCGCTGTGCTCCGCGGTGTCCATGGAAACTGCAGGCACCGTCCCACCCCGCTCCCCCTCGCAGGGAACTCATGGCAACCGCTCCAAACACAGCGCGGAGGCAAAAAAAAAAAAAGAAAAAAAAGGGAAAAAAACCGATTCCAACGGATCACAAACAGCTTCTGTCGAGGGAGACTCTGCGCCAAAATCCCAGTTTGGGTGTTCTCCTCGGCGCGGGCGAGAGGGGAGGTCACGGGGTGGGGGTGCTGGGATGCGATCCCTCGGGAATAAACGGGAATAAACGCTCCCCCCACCTCCCAAGCAAGGTGTGCGATCCCACCTGGATTCCAACCCCACCCCTGAAAACTCCAGGCGCTGAGCCACGAACGGGTGTCGGGGGCAGCGGGGGAAGGAGGCGAAAAAGAGGTGTAAAAAGAAGGCGCAAGCAGTGATTTATCCGCCTTTTAGGTCAGGCCGGGGAAGGGAGGGACCTTCCCGAAGTTCGGCGGCTCCTGGGGGGAGCGGATCCCTCTGCGAGCGCGGTGTCAGCGCTTCGAGCTGAATCAAAAAAAAAAATAATGTCAGAACCGGCTCTCCCACCCGTTCCGAGAGGAGCACGAGGAGGGAGGGATAAAAAAAAAAATTAAAAAAAAAAAATATATAACGATATTTTACTCACCCATCAAAAGAAAATTACTCACGCCAGGCGCGTGGGCGAGCAGAATTCTGCAGGGCTGTTTTAGGCCCCGACTGCGCTACAAAAATACCCGTTTTAAGCACGGCTGTGAAACACACGGTTGTGGCTCAACTGGAGCACGGTTAGGGCGGGTGGGGGGAGGCTCTGGACAGAACAGGTGGAAAGATTAATAGTTAAGGAATAGCCGAGGCTCTTCCCGGCTGCTCCACCCGGTTTCGCCGGGATAAAAGCTCTGGGATGCGCGGAGATCCCCGCACGGGCGCTGAGGGAGCAGGGAGGTGTTTGGGAGCCGTGCACGCCTCGCTCACTGCTTTGGTATCCACTTGCTTCATCCGGGCTAATTTTATCCCGTGCCCATCCCCAAATCCCGGTATCAGTGAAACCTTGGAGGGAAGGAGGGGGGAGCTCCGGAGAAACATCAATATTGGTTGGGTGGGAAGGAACCAGCGCCTCGGGGCTGTGTCTGCATCGCACCTGCCCGATGTGGCCACGGCTCCAGAGCACGGAAAACACAGGGAATAACCAACAAACCTACTTTTAGGCGACGCCCCAGCTACGCCGCCGCCTCCTCTTCCCTTTGCCACACAGAGGCAGGCGGCTCCTCCTCGCCTCCATCCCTAAATATCCCAGAAAACACTCACACTCGCCCCGGGTCGGGTCTGGGGAGTTCAGCATTGTGTGACCACCCTGCCTCCCCAGCTCCCCAGTCCACCCAGAGAGCTGCCTGCCAGGAGGCATATGGTCCCCACAGCCCTGCCCCGAGCCCCAGGAGCGCACGTGCTTCACACTCCTCGCTCCCCAGCGACGTTTGCTTCCCAGATTTTCTGCTCCCAGTAAATACCAGCTGTTGCAGTGGTGCCGGGAGCTCGAGCTGGCACGTTGCTGAGAGCCCCCTTTCCCCCCTCCTCCCTCTGTGAGATCACCTGGGGGAGTGGGAAACCAGAGCAGGGGATATTTGGGAGCCTGGTTACGAGCTGAAACCACGCTTGGTTTTATGTGGTTTCGCAAAGCTTGAAAAAAAATCCTTTATACAGTTAAAACTGAGGCACTCGGGGCAATAAGGGCAATGATACAGTAGAAATCAACACTCTATTCCCTTTATTTTTGTAGGAGTGATGGCCAAGGTAATCACTGGAGTGTTTTCCTCCCTCTCCTCCAAATGTACGGGAGGAAGAGGGAGATGAAGATGCTTCAGGAGATCCCGATCCTAAAGCCTAAAGGAAGCCACGGAGCTCTGCTGGGATTTGGAAAACCTCTCGTCTGTCCATGCAAGGCTGTTTCCCAAAACAAGGCTTCTCCTGCTCTAAATAAAGCTTAGCCTAGAAAGACAGCACTGCCTTGTTGCCTGGGCACAGGAGTTGGGAATCTGGGGGTTTGATCCAGCCTCTGTCACCAGCAGGTCACTCTGAGCACTTTTCCTGGGTTGGTACAAGGGTCACTCCCGTGTTCCTGGGAGTGCTCCTGGCAGTGTTCCCCGCATTCCCGGTCCTGATGCAGCACAGAGAGCTCACAGGGAGTGAAGGAAGGCACGAGATTAACCCCACACGACACGACAAGGCATCCACCCGCCAACAGCCCGTAAATTTCTAGGGATCTCCTTCACAAAAAAAAATTAAGGACACCAGTGCCCAGGAGCTAAACTGGAGGCAGAGTTACGTGCAGGACAGGGCTGAGGATGAAGCTCCATCCTCTTCCTCGGCTGCAGCAGCCAACCCCTGGAGAAAGGGGGTTTAATCCAAGCTGCCCTGGGCCTGGTGGTGCCCGACACCAGGGAGACGCACGTGCCAGTTGAGCTAACGCTGCCTCCCAAATCATCCCGGGGCTGGAACAAGCTCCCCCGCTCCGCAGGGACCTCCCTGTGACATTTCAGGAGCAGGGGGCACGACCCTGGCATGTGTCAGCGCCGCCAGCACGAGCGTAACCCCCGTACGGACGTCACGCCGTGCCCTGAACTCCGGCTCCCCCGTGAATGCCCCGATTCATCCCGGCAGGGCAGCTCCAGGAATCACCAGCGGGGAAGGAGTGGACGCTCCGGAGGCCGCACTGAGGGCGATTGTGTGGCTGGCACAGCCCCGGGACCCCGCGGGGTGCGAGCCCCTCGTGCGTCAGCGGAGCCGCCGCGCTCCGGGCGCTGACGCGGCCGGAGGAGAAAGAGCGGGCTCAGAATTCCCGGAGTCCCCAGTTCCCCCCTCGCCCGGCAGCGACCTCAGAACGAGGCAAAAAAAACCACCCCCATCTCCCAGCAGAAGCCACGGCCAGGGCCACACGTGTGTTGTGGTGACGTGTGGCAGTCCCCAGGCGAGGTCCCCGCGAGCGGCCGGACATTGGGAAGCGTCTGGCACTGTTCCCAAACGATCCCACACCTGAAGGAATTGTTTATCCCTCACATTCTGGGCTCTGCAGCCCCTCCTGGAGCAGGAGGGCGCAGCAGGTCTCTCTCTCTCTTCCAGAGAAGTGTCCATTCCCACACAGCTCCCGAGGGCAGGCTGGGAAGAGGCGGCTCCGAGACCCCCCCGTAGCCAACGCTGCTGCTGTTCTGGGATGAGCAAAGCACAGCAAAAGCGATCCCAGGACATAAATCCTGAGTTTTTTTAGCAGAACCCTGTGTGCACATCACTGTGTTACCCCAGCAGGTTCCCAAACCACAGCTTCCAACCCGAAAAAAAACCCTCCACTCCCAGCCATGGCAAAACTCGACCTTCCAAGGCCTTCCTTTAAACTTAATCCGTCCCATCCCGGGGCACGGGGGGAAACGGCTTTTCCTCCTTTTTTGGAAAGGAAAAAAAGCTTTCCTTTCCCTGGTGTGGAGGGAGGGTTTGCTGCAATTCCCAGTGTTATTCCCAGTGTTCCCGGTCCCCTGTCCCAGTTACTTCCTGTGTCTTTTTCCGGCTGTTATTTCCGGGTGTTCCCCGGGGGGTCCCTCTCCCGGTATTCCCAGTGTTATTCCCATTGTTACTCCTGATGCCATTCCCGGTTATTCCCGGTGTTATTCCCGGTGTTATTCCAGGGGGTCCCATTGTTACTCCTGATGCCATTCCTGGTTATTCCCGGTGTTATTCCCGGGGGTCCCTGTCCCGGTTATTCCCAGGGGTCCCATTGTTACTCCTGATGCCATTCTCGGTTATTCCCGGTGTTATTCCAGGGGTCCCTGTCCCGGTTATTCCCGGTGTTATTCCCGGTGTTATTCCCGGGGGACCCTGTCCCGGTTGTTCCCGGTGTTATTCCCGAGGGTCCCTGTCCCGGTTGTTCCCGGTGTTATTCCCGGTGTTATTCCCGGGGGTCCCTGTCCCGGTTGTTCCCGGTGCAATTCCCTGTGTTCCCGGTCCCTGCCCCGGTTATTCCCGGTGTTCCCTGACCCGGTCACCCCCGCGGGTGCCTGTCCCGGTTATTCCCGGCTGTTCCCGGCGTTATTCCCGGTGTTATTCCCGGTTTTTCCCCCGCACTCACCAGCTCATGTTCCCCCGCCGCTCCCGGAAGCGCCGCCACCTTCGGCCCCGCCCCTTCCGGGAGCGCCTTTGAACTCGCCGCGCGCCGCCGTGACGTCACGGGGCTGGATGCGTGACGTCACCGGCACAGCGCGCGTGACGTCACGGGCGGGTGTGACGCAATCCCAGGGATTGTCTGGGATCATCCCGGGGCTGGGAGAGGGGAAGGGACGGCCTGGGATCATCCCGGGGGTGGGTGACGGGACAGGGATTGTCTGGGATCATCCCTGGGTTAGGAGAGGGCGTGGGGGGCATCCAGGATGCCCCCAAAACCCCAAAAAAGGGGGGGAGGACATGAGCATGGGGTGCCCGGGATCACCATGGGGGTGGGCGAGGGGGAAGAGATTGCCTGGGAGCATCCCCAGGTAGGACAGTGGAACTTGGGAGTGGATGCCCTGGGACCATCCTGTGGTGGGCAAGGGGGAGGAATTGCCTGGGATCACCCCTGGGGTGGGCGAGGGCACGAAAACGGGGTGCCCAGGAGCATCCCTGGGGTGGTTGAGGGCACAGGGGAGAGCGGGGCTGTCCCGGCCCAGGAAATCCCGAGGGAGAGCAGCAGAAAGGTGCGTCAGGCTTGGGAGAGCAAGCGCCCAATTTCGTGGGGAAACCCCTCCAGCCCCACCCTAGGGGAGCTGGGCAAGGGAGGGTGGGGCAGCAAAGCCTTTGGGGAGACCAAAAAACCACCCTGTGACCGCCAGGGTGAGGCAAAGCCCCCCCACCTCGAGATCTGGGTGCCCTGGGACCCCCCCAGGGGTGACATCCTGGTGTTGGGAATGGGTTTGGTGACACCAGGCCGGTGCCAGCACATGCCAGCACACGGGGAGGAGGCCTGGGATGGGTGCCAGGGGTGGCTTTATCAATTAGCAGGTGGAGGTAAATAAACAGCACAGGTAATTACAGCCAGGGAGGATGATGCTAAACTGGGAAGGTGTCACCGACACCGGTGAGGACAGGGATTAGCCCAAAAGGAGCAGGGAGGGGGAGGGCAGGGCTGCAGGGGGGTGTCAGTCCCCACCAGTTGTCCCGTTTTGGGCCGGGATGGGGAGAACCAGCTGGAGGGATTGGTGGAGAGGGGAGGCTGCGAGGGAAAGGGGTCACTTTTTGGGGTGCTGGTGGGGTGTCAGGGCACACCCCGAGCCGAAAGGATCCTACTGCATCCCCCTCTGGAGGGAGTTTGGTGCCAGGAAGGTTTGGCCGGTGGTTCCTGCTGCTCCTGGCTGCCACCCCCACTGTGGTGACCCCACCTTGGGGCGCAGGGGACGTGGCAGAGATGGCTCGAGCTGATCCTGGATCTGTCATCCCGATGGGGCTCCGGGAACGTCTTCCATGGAGGCTCTGCCTGGTGTGTCCCCCCGTCCCAGGCACGTGCTGAGGGGGGCAAGTCTGGCCCCTTCCCCCAAAACACTCTGGCCAGGGGTGGGGAGGAAGGAAAGGGGTTCCACGTGGCGCTGGCACAGGAGGACGAGGATCAAGGTGATCCAGAACCATCCAGACCTTCTGCCTCCTGCCAGGCAGCAGAGCTGGAGCTGGGAAGAGCAGGGAAGGATCCCACCAACATCTGCAGCGCCAGCTGCAAAACCAGGAGCTTCTGGGGCGAGGGTCCTCTTCTCTCCTTGACCCCAGGGACGGGGTTCTCGGCTCTTGGTGCTCCTCCTCAGCAGCAAATCCCATCCCGTGGAGAGCTCTGGGGTTCCCCAGCGTCCTGCAAGGCCCCGAAGACCCTCAGCGGGGACCCCCCGGCCGTGCCGTCGAGGAGGGGAGAGGCAGCAAGTTGTGCGGGGCTGGTACGTGACTGGGAGCCCTTCCCTCCTCCCCAGAACGCAGATAGCCCAGAACGGGGATGGAAAGTGCCGTGTTTCCGTAGCAACCAACATTTTTCGTGCAAGGTGCCGCACGCGCTCCCTGCGCTCCGCCACCCAAGGGTGCTCCCGGTGCTCCTCGGCCTCCTGCTCCGCTCTGGGGATGGCTGGGCCTGGTTGTGGGGGGGTGGGCACAGCAGGTGCACCTAGTGGGCTCCTTCCCTCCTCCTCTTCCTCGCCCGTGTGGAAGGAGCCGAAAATGTTGGCGCGGCCTCGGGGTGGCTCCTCGCTGTGGCGTCTCCTGCCCGCTCCCGGTGTCTCCGGCGTCTTCCAGCGCGGTGGAAATGGGCACAACCACCACCACCACCACCACTGCAGCTCCCTCGGGTGGCACCGGGGGCCCACGGTGGCTCTGGGTTCTACCATCCACCTCGGCTCACCTCGGGACACCGCGGGGACCGGCGGCTCCAAAACCGACCCACAGCCCCCCCGGGGGCTGCAGGACCTCCTGGAGGGAAGGACGGTCCCAGTTCATCCCAGTCCAGCCTCACATGGTCACCAGACACTCAACCACACGGGAATCCACTCGGAGGCACTGGAGCACCCCCGACACAGCGCCCATGGGCTCCAAAGCCAAGTCCCCAGTGCCAGGAGGTGCCATCCCTGACCGGGCTGGGTGGGCCCCAAGCCACTGTCAGCCCCTCAAATCCTCCCCACATTTAAGCCCCTCCAAGCCAAGGGGCTCAGCAACCCCCCGGGATGGGCAGAGCTGGCCCTGGGATGGCTGGAGCAGCAGCTCCTCCGGGCCCAACTGCAGATCCGCAGGAAACCACACAACAGTTCCAACGCCTCCGTGCCTCGGGAACGCCGGGAAAGACCACAGAGCCAACACCAACCACCAGCACTGCCAGCAAGGCCTCGGCCAAGGGGACACTCCATCCCAGCAGGGCTGGGCCCACGAGCACCGAGGGATCCCCAGACCCCCGGTCTGGGATCCTCCAGCACAGCCCCAGCTCCGGGAGCCCCCAGGTTGGATCCTCGGGGGGGGACGGATCCAACCACCACGCGCGCCGCCATCCCAAACATCCAAAGCGCCTCCGAGCTCCTTCTCCCACTTGTTCCTCGTGCCAGCGCTGAAACCCGGCGGGTTATTTTTATCCCGAGCCATCCAGCCTGGGAATCAAATCCCCTCCGGGCGCTGCCCTGGGGGCGATTTGGCGGGCGAAGGGCACCGGGGGCATTACCGGCTGAAGCGGCGCGATCCTCTTTGGCCCAACCGTGATCCGACAGCCCCTGGAAGCTGCCAGAAAATAAAATAATGGTGGCGACGGGGTCAGGGCGGCGGCGCGAGCGGGGAAAAACCGGGATGCCAGGCCAAGGGCACGCCAAGGACGCGGATTTTGGGGGAGCGGGGCGGGAAAAGAGCGGGAAGGGGGACACGCCGGTCGCCTTCGGGGTCACTCAGCTGGTCTCGCTGTGCCATCCCTGTGAACAGAACTGAAGGAGAAAGTTGGAGGGGGGGATTGGGGGTGCTGAGAAAAGAAGTGGGTTATTGGTTTTTTTTGTCTTTTTTTCTTTTTTTTTTTTTAAATCGTATAAAAAATAGTATTTAAGGAAATACAACGCTCGGAGGGGAAAGAAAATAATAATAATAATAATAATAAAAAAAAAAGGAAAGTCTGTACAAACAGGTTTCAAAGTCGCCCGTGAAGAGACACAGCACCCACTTCCCTGCACGTTTTACAACCCCCTTACACGTTACTGGTTGGTTTCTGTTGTGGTGTTGTTGTTTTTTTCCTTTCCAAAGCAGTATAGATCATTTTTAAGCAAATAAAGATATTTACTACAGATTTTGATTGTCAGCAAACACAATATATTTACTGCATTAGCATTTGCTCACAGTGCAAATGGTACAACAATACATCAGTTCAATATTTCTGATTTTTTCCCTTAAAAATGCTGTATGCATTAACTATCATATTTGCATTACAACATGACAAATGAGCAAATGAAATGTGTGTGAAAATTGTCACCTTTTCACAATATCAAGCATAATTTTTTTTTTTAACCTTAGTATAAGGTACTATAAATCCAAGAAATAAAAACATCCACAAAATATATTACATCTGGTATGATTTTTTTTTTCTCTAAGTACTCAACTTTATACAAAAGTCTTTCAAAAAATATCATTCCCTTAGGTTTGTGTGGTTAAACCTGATTGTGGTTTGTTTGTTTTTTGTTTGCTTTTTTTTTTTTTTTGTTCCTTTCAGTTCACATAAATTAGACTGCATTCTTCCTCTTCTCTTTATTTTTTGTACGTTTTTAATGTGTTTTTTTTGTAGTTTTTTTTTTTCACATGCAGACATCAAACCTGGATAGCACGACCTTTTGGCAACAAAGATTTTTTTTTCTTTTTAAGTCATTATTATTTTTGCTTAGTTTAGCTTAAATGTCTGAGCACAGTTTTATTAAAACAAAAGAAAAAAATCAGAGCAGTCATGCAATGACATGCACATACCAGAAGGAGAAAGAAAAAAAAAAATAAAATAGAGGACTAATTGATTTTTCTCCTCCATAGTTGGGTGGTTGTTTTAAAGTGACCAAATAAAATAAAATAAAAATATCTCACATTATAAAAAGTATTCAGCAAAATACTGGGGTGCTTTTTTTTTTTCTGCATTTCTGTAAAGAATTTCCCTTCTGCTGAAAAAAAAAAATAAAATTAAATAAAAAAAACAAACATAAAAAGGAAAAGAAAAAAAAAAATAAGAAAACAAACCCAAAAGCTGCTGCTGGGACAACACCCCCGAAGTTGGGGGGACCCGCAGAGCCGCCCCCCGCCCGCCAGCCCGGCTTGGGGGGGCCGAGCCCTCTTACCTCCACCACGGGGAGCCGGTGCTTGGGGGGCATGGGAGGGAAACGGGGATGTGGGGGGACAACAGGGGCTCCAGGCCCGGTGAGGGATCGGCTCCTTCCATCCATCCTTCTGTCCATCCATCCGTCTATCCATGCGTCCATCCAGCCATCCCCACACGGATCCTGGAGTCCCCAGCCCTGGGGGAGCCAGGGGGGTCGAGACCGGGGAGGAGGGGGACGGGGGGGCGATCCTGGAGCACCCAGCCCCAGGGGGCAGCGGGCAGCTCGGGATCGAGCCCTGGGATGTGGGTTAGCGGGATTCCCGGGATCCGCAGCCCGGGCAGCCCGGAGCCGGGCCGGGAGAGTGCGGGTGGGATGGCCCCGGGAGGAGAGGGGTGCAGGAGGTGGGGTGCAGGAGAGCTGGAGCCAGGAGAGCCGGGACTGGGCAATCCAGCCGGGATCCGGGCGGTGCAGGTAATCCAGGTGCGGGAGCAGGGATCCAGGAAGAGGGTGCGGGCAGCCCGGCCCCGGGTGGTGCGGGTGTGGGCAGCCGGGATCCGGGAGCTGCGGGAGCAGGAGGCCGGGATCCAGGCAGTGCAGGCGGCCTGGCCCCGGGAGGTGCAGATGGAAGCAGCCGGGGTCTGGGAGGTGCGGGAGCAGGCAGCCAGGATCCAGGTGGTGCGGGCAGCCCCCGGTGCGGGCAGCGCAAGTCCGGGCAATCCGGGTGCGGGCAGTGCGGGTCCCGTCGATCCAAGTGCAGGCAGGATCCGGGTGCGGGCAACCTGGCCCCGCTCAATCCGGGCGCGGACCCGTCGCAGCACAACCCCGGGGTATCCTGAACACCGCGGGGGTTCCCCCCGGAGCGGCGCCGAGAGGGCAAGGGGAGGAGAAGGGGGTGCCACCGCGCCGCCCCCCACAATCCCTCAAGCGCACGTGGTGACGGCGGGGGCGAGGGCGACGGGGGGCGAGGTGGTGGCGGCGGCGGCGGCGGCGGGGGGCGCAGCGGGGGGCTGCCCGCCCGAGCCCTTCTCGGCCTTCTTCTCCTTCTGCTTGAGGTGGATCTTGGCGTGCCGTTTGCGCTCGTCGGAGCGGGCGAACTTGCGGCCGCAGAACTCGCAGGCGAAGGGCTTCTCGCCGGTGTGGGTGCGGATGTGGGTGGTGAGGTGGTCGCTGCGGCTGAAGCTCCGCATGCAGATGCGGCACTGGAAGGGCTTGTGGCCCGTGTGGATGCGCAGGTGGCGGGTGAGCTCGTCGGAGCGGGAGAAGCGGCGGTCGCAGCCCTCGGCGGGGCAGGCGTGGGGCCGCTCGTGGAGCGGCGTCTTGCTGGGCCGGTTGGGGTACTTGCGGGGTCGGATGGGCTTGAGGGTGAGGGGCGGCTGCGGCAGCCCCCCGAAACCCGGGTGGATCTGCTTGTCCTTGAAGGCCTTGATGGTCTCCAGCGGGGTGATGGGGGGCGGGTTGACGCGGATGGGGTCCAAGCTCTGGAAGGGTTTGTGCTCCGTGATGGTGCCCATGTCGTTGGGGTGGTGGTAGAGGTTATAGTCTGGGATCATGGGGAAGAGGTTGCTGTCCAAGGCAGGCTTGGCCGCCTGGTAATCCTGGGGGGAGTAGGTGAGGCCGGGGTTGCTCTGAGGGTCGTGGAAGGAGACGGGCTCTGGGTAGAGGTCACTGCAAGAGGAGTAGGGCGGCAGCGCGGGGTACATCTGGTCCACCTCGCCCTGCGGCGGCCCCATGCTGCCCGCCGAGCTCTGCGTGCTGGTGAGCGCGCCCGAGGACGGCGGCACCCCCAGGATGCCGGCGCTCATCAGGCTGATGATGTTGTCCTGGCACCAGTTGGAGGGCGAGTCAAAGCGAATTTCCCCAGGTAGGTGACAGTCTTGTTGCCCGGGGCGGGTTGAAAAGTGCCCGAGTAGGAGGACAATTCCTGACCGGCCTTTTCGTTCGCTAAGCCAATGTCCATAACATTATCTGCAAAGTGCGAGAGAAGCGGGGCAGGGTGAGCCGGGTGGGCCCGGGAGGGGGAGCACCGGGGATGCACCGGGGGATGCTCCGGGGAGCTGGGGATGCACCGGTTCCCTCTCGCCTCGCTCCCCCGCACCACTCTCTGCTTCCACCCCGCGTATGCGGCGCTGCCTGCCGGGGTCCCGACGATGTGGGGCCGCCCCCGCCGCCCCGCGGGGAGCTGCCCTGGGTGGGTGGGTGGGGGACACCCCACCGCCGCCCCGCCGGGGAAGGAGGTACCTGCGGCTACAGGTAGGCTTCCTCCCCGTCCAGCCCCGGCAGCGCTGGGCACTCCGCGGAGCCGGGGCTGCGGCCGCCGACGCCGCCGTTACCGACTCGCCGCCTTCCCTGCGCCGAGCCCCGGCGAGGAGAAACACGGGGATCATGGAGGGAGGGGGGGGGGCGCTCAGCCTGGCGGGGCTCCGCGTGGGAGCGGGGACACGCGGGAGCACCGCCCCCGCCGCCCTCGGCGCTCACCTGTGCCCCCCAGGTCCTCCCTTCTCCTGTCCCCCCCCCTCTCCTTTTTCCCCTCTCAACCCCGCGCTCCGGGAAAGTCGTCGCCGCGTCCCGGAGAGCCCACGCCGCCGCCGCTGCGGGGTGTGGGGGGGCGGCCGCCACGGCCCCACGCGCGTCCGCGGCGCCTCCGCACCCGCGCGGAGCCCGGCGCGGGCGGGCGGCCCCGCTGCGCGACACCGGGGTGCCCCTCGGCCTTTCCCCCGCGGCTTTTCCACCCGTGTCCTCCTCCCCACGGAGCCCCGGCCGCCGTGCCCGTACCTGCGGCGGCGGCTCGGCGGCGGCAGCGCTCGGCGGAGCCCCTGCAGCGATCGCGCGGAGAACACGGCGAGGAAAGGGGTGGGTGGGTGCAGGGGGGGGGACGCTCCCCAGCCCCAGCTCTTCCCTTCCCTCCGAGGCTCCATGACACCCTACCCACAGCATCCTCCTCCTCGCCCCACCGGCTTCCACCCCAGCCCCCCATTCTGCGCCGCTTCTCCCCATTTTCCTTCCCCCCCCCTTCCCCTTTTACCTGCAGCCATCTGGTTGTAGTGAGCCACCGAGTCGCTGGTGCTGGAGAAGATATTCAAAGAGTTGGGGATCTCCTCTGGGTACAGATTGTCAGGCAATTGGTTCATCAAAGTGTTCATGGTCCCCGGCAGCTTCTCCAGTAGTTTGCCTGTCATAGCACTGGAGGAAAAGGCTGGTTCAACGTGGCTCCGAGCTCAGCTCCCGAGGAAACAACATCCAGTGGCAAATCCGTGCGAGGAAATCATGCAAGAAAAAAGTTGGGGCGGGGGCGGCGGGGGAGGAGGAGGAGGAGGCGTGGGGTGGGGGGGGGCCGAGGTGGCCGCGGAGGAGGAGGGCGCGGGGGGCGCGGTCCTCCGTGGGGTCCCTTGGTGGTGTTTCCTCGAGGGAGGGGGCGATCTGGCTGGCAGATGTGATTGTAGAAGCGGGGTTGGGGGGGTGGGGGGAGGATTTAACCCCTCCTCTCTCTCTCTCTGTCGCCGGCTCCCGGCCCCGCTCCCCCCCGCGCTCGGCCCCGCTCCGCTCGCCCGGTTCCTTCGCTGCCGCCCGACTGCTCCGCCGGGGACTCCGCGGGGCCTTTATGCGGGAGCGCTCCGTGACGTAGCTGCCCATATATGGACAGACAAAGCCGAGCCGAGGCCGAGACGTCACAATGGAAGCTCCGCACAATGGAACGTTTGGGGAGAGAGAGAGAGGGAGAGAAAGAGAGAGCAGGAAGCGGCGACCGGCGCGCGAGGGGAAGGGGGGACAAGGGGACAGGGCAAAGGGGGCACCACCGGGGACCCTGCCACTGGGGCAAGGGGGACAGGGCACCGGGCATCCTGCACCGCGAAAGGGGCATCCTGCACCGGGAAAGGGGTGCCGGACACCGGGCATCACGCTCCGGGTACCGGGTGTCCTGCACCGGGAAAGGGGTACCGGGAACGGGGGCCGGGAACGGGGCGTCCTACGCTGGGAAAGGGTCACCGGGAAAAGGGCATCCTGCACCGGGAAAGGGGTACCGGACACCGGGCATCCTTGCATCGGGAAAGGGGTACCGGGAACGGGGCGTCCTGCACCGGGAAAGGGATGCCGGCACAGGGTACCGGGACTCCTACACCAAGCACCGGCCATCCGGCACCGGACAGTGGGTACTGGGCACCGGGTATCGGGCATCCTGCACCGGGGAAGGGGTACCGAGCACCGGGCACCCTCCACAGGGCACCGGGCATCCCGCGCTAGGCATCGAGTCCCGGGTACCGGACGTGCATCAGGCATCCTGCACCAGGCATTCCGCGCTGGGCACCGGGAACCCTGTTAAGGGCACCGGGCATCTTGCACCGGACACGGGGCACGCTGCACCGGGCCGGGGGTTTCCTCCCCGCACTGACATCCCTCACCGAGAGATGCCGGACCCCCGCGAAGGGCGGGTGGCGGCGGCTCCAGCCCCTCCCTGCCCGGATCATTCCCCCCGGGAAGGAACGGGGGCGCGGGGACAGCCCGCCCCCGCCGTGCCTGACCCTGCGGCCGCCCCCGGGGCTGCTCAGAGCCAGGCTCTTACCGGGAGGGGTTTTTTTCCCCGACTGGAGACCAGGAGCGCGGGGGAACCGGCCACAAACCCCATCCCGCAAGCCGGGATGGGAGAGAAACGGGATGGGAGCTGTGCGTGGAAAACCACAGCGCCAGGCAGTGGAGTTTGGTGGGAAGGAGAGGGTCAGCGGGGGGGGCTGCAGAAGCCTCCATCTCCTCGCTGTGGTGGCAGCGGTGACAGAGGGGGTGGCTCTGCCCCGAGCCGCCCCCTCCCCATGCCCCGGCTCCCGTGGAGAGCAGCGCTTGGAATACTTTAAAAACAGGTAACACTTGTTGGTCGCCTGTGATTTTAACCTCACCTCCCCCCTTTAAAAGTTTGGCACTTCCAAGGCGTCAGTAATTAGGTGGTTTCGTGCTAAGTGTGCCAACTGATGCTATCTTTAAAACCCTCCGAGTTATATAGCAAATGTATGGAAAAATGCTGTGTTGCAATAGCTCCACTTACCCAATTCCTGCAGGGCCGGCTTTGCCATGGGAGTGAAATCCGGGCTACGGGAGGGCTGCGGCGGGAGGGGACCGGGCACTCGCTGTGGGGAGAGTGGGATGGACACACCAGGGGGGCTGGGGAGGTGCTGCCGGGCTCGGGGTGTGTCGCCCCGCGGTGCCGGGGTGGGTGGGGGGATGCTGCGGAGCGCAGGGCGGGGGGAGCGTGTACCGGGAGCGGGGGGGGGCAGCGAGCCCTGACTTGGCTGTTTGTGAGTGCGGGGGGAGGAGTGGCCTGTGTGCTCTGTCAACTTCAGGGTCACCATTCACTTCAGGGCCCCCCGCATCCTCTTCAGGGTCCCCCATTCCCTGCAGCCCCCCAGCCACTGCAGCCCCAGCCACTGCAATGGTGCCCATCCATCGATGGACCCCGATTTCATTAGAAGCCTCCCCCTTCCACTACTTAGAACCCCCTCTATCCTTGCAGAGTCCCTTTACCTTGCTTATATCACCCCCTTATCCTTGCAGAGCCCCCCACCCTGCTTAGAACCTCCATCCTTCGCAGAGCCCCCCCATCCTGTGCAGATCCCCCCCACCCTCGCAGAGCCCCCTTATCCTTGCAGAGCCCCCTTATCCTTCGCAGAACCACCCCATCCCGTACAAAACACCCCCACCACCCACCCTGTACAGAATCCCCCCATCCCTGCAAAGAACCCGCGCAAAGCCCCCAACTCTGCAAACAGACCCCCATCCCTCTCAGAGCCTTGCACCCTTATCACTCCCATCCTTTGCAGGGCACTCTCCTTCTTTACACCCCCTCTTGTCACTCTCCCCCACACTCGCCCCCATAGCCTCAAGCCCCCACCCTCCCCATCACCCGCCCCGCCCGTGGCCCGGCGCGGCCCGGGGAGCGCGGCGGCGGCGGCGGGAGGCGGGGACAGGGGAGGGGAGAGGGCGGCGGCAGGCGGGCGGCCGAGGGGAAGCGCCATACAAGGCCTGGATCCGGCCCCGCCTCCGCTCCCTTCTTTGGCCGCCGGTTCCGGCGCCCCCGGCGCTGCCGAGGTGCGGGGCGGGTGCGGGGCGCGGAGGGGGATGCGCCGCCCGCACCCACCCTGAGCAGCACCGCCGTGGCCCGCGGGGGTGAGGAGGGGATCCCGCCGACCCCCTTTTTACTCCTCCCCCGCGAAGTGCGCCCAGCGCCTTTCCCCGTCCCCGCGTCCCCGCGGCGGGAGCGCGCCCGCATCCGCCGTGTTGGGGATGCTGCGGGTCCGGCTCCCCGCAGCCCCGCGCGGGTCAGAGCTGAGACCCCCCACCCTCTCCTCCCCAAAACCGAACCGCCCCTCCTCGGCCGTCAGTGGTGTCCGGCACCACCACCTCCACCACCCCGTTCCTCCAGATGGAGAGTGGAGGGGTGTGGGTTTGCTCGGCCTTATCGGCACCCACGGGCGAGGGTCCCGTGGGGAATTCCTGCTCCGGAGCAAGCAGGGACTGGCCCAGCTTCTCACCCTGCGCTGGAAAACCCAACATTCCCCACGAGTGCCAGCCCCACACTTGGCTCACCCCGACCCGGGTGGGCATCTGCCTGCCACGGGTGACAGTGCCACGGCACTGTGAACTCTCATCTGTGTGTTGTCCCCCTCCTCCACGACACGAGTGGCGTCTGCTTCCCGCTGGGAATGCAACTGTTCCCTGCCGGATCGGGGCGGCTGGGGCTGTGGGTGCAGCGATAACACCCCACACCCTCGCGGCGGGGTTTAGGCTGGGCTTAAAGCTCCTGAGTCACCCGGACCCGCCGTTAAACCCGACCAGGGAGAGCGGGACAGCTCAGTTACTAACAGTGGTTTGATGCCAATTGATGGGGAACGGCCCGGAGCCAAAATAAACCAAGGCAGCCTCAGACTGGCACGAAAACGGCCGCATGGGGGTTGGACTGGCTTAGTTACAGCTCAGCTTAA